AATGAAGGAATAGTAATTATAAGATTGTTTAAGCTTATTAACTAAAAATTATTGCCTACTCAATAAAAAAATATTATTGTCCTCGATAATCTATTACTGATTAATAAAATATTTACTCTCTTTCCTTATAAGATTGTATGTACGCAAATTGGAGCCGTTCCTGAAAAATCGGGCGAATGTGGCTGCAGTTTAAATTATTAGACTTGAAGCGTTGGCCGCTAGAACAGCACCTGCCGGGGTCACGTTTCGTGACTCACGCTGGGCGATATTTTTTGTACAAAATCCCGTCCTTAAGAACGGAAATTGAAGTCCCGTTTCATCTAACAAAGTACTACAATATTCATATAGATGTCGCTTATAGTAAAAATGGTACGATTATTTCATTCATTCAAATTCCGGCAAAATACACCTAAATAAAAATGAGAAAATGCCAGGTGCACATACACGTGCGCGATAATGAGTTGTCCGGCCTATACGTCCATCCCACTCTCTTGCTATCTCATAATTGCATATGAAAAGAGAAGGGTGATAAAATAATAAAAACTCCAATTTGCGGCCGCCGGTTTTTTGTTCTGAAAATATTTCTATTTTCTGTCTTCTACTTATTATTATGTACATATTTACAAAAACGGAGGATGGCAAGTGGTTGTACAAATTTATAACAGCTGCAACCAACTAAAAGTTTTATTTGATATTATTTTCTACATTCTAGTACTTATATGGATTCGGACTAGAGTAGGTGCGAATATAGTTATTTCTTGTATTAATGGATCTTTGAGCTGTTATCTTGCGTTGTGGCGGGGAAATATTTTATTTGTGGAGTTTACTATTTTTTAAATGAAGGAAAAAATATTAACAGAGTAAGTATTACAATTTGCTAGGCATAGTTGTACTTAGTACTAAATTCAAGTAAATAATAGGTATTAAAATAAATGTAGGTATTGTATTTGATTATTTGAAAATAAAAATTACATATGCTACAATGGGCTTTCCGCTTACTTAGCCGTAATATAAAATATGACATATTGTTGTTGCAATGCACATACAGGCTGTTCCAATAGTGTGACAAAGTTTATAATTATTTTCAGTTATTATTATTGTTATTATTATTATTATTATTATAGGGCAAAATTTTCAGGCCAAAAACAAGATATTCTGAATGTTTAATTCGGTCTGAAAATAACGAATAATGCAAATAATAATAAATTAAATGTGAATCTGAGCAAATAACTTTTTTCGTATCACTACTACAGGCAGTTATACTAAACTTTATCGCACTATTGTGGCACCCTATATATGACTAGATATATAATTATGGTAAATCAAAAGCATAATAGGTAAAAATGTATAATTATCTATGTTTATAACAAATATTCAGGCCGAGTATGTAGCCCATTTTATCATAATAACAGTTATGTTATTTCAGGGTTGTTAATGTTAACTGTTAAGATATAAAGTGCACGTTATTGAGGAATTAAGACCACTTTTAGCAAATACTCGTATTGCAATTTTGTTGTTTTTTGAAGACACTTTTGTGTCGACATTTTTAATAATAATTATGCAAACAAGAGTCAGTATTAGACAAAAACACATATAACTGACAGATGTCTTTTAGGTTATGAAACATGAAACAAATGCAAACTCGTAAATAACGGGTAAGTACAACATAAGGCTTTTTTTCGCGACTGAATATTGGTGAATATCTGACTTGTAGTCACTATTTCCATCTCTTTTGATCTTAGTTGTCATATGGTAGTTTAAATCTCTTCACTCACTCATACTACACATACCACAACATACATTTTCACTCGCGAAAAGAAGCCTATAAAATAGTTTGTAACACGTTATCTTAAATTATAACAGAGTTTCTTAAAGGCAAAGAATTTGGTGTTGCTATAGTTTAACGTAGGTGTTATTTGTCTAATGAAAATGAAGGGCTTGTTAAATTTCCATTTACTTGCAGGTTTTATAAACGCACATCGAAGGTAAGTTGTAAAATTTAAGTAACTTAGGGCGTGTACCATAATTCCAACATTTTAACCAAGGTTTTGGTTCGCCGTTCCGTAAATCTATAGGCCTGAAAAATANACTACTACAGGCAGTTATACTAAACTTTATCGCACTATTGTGGCACCCTATATATGACTAGATATATAATTATGGTAAATCAAAAGCATAATAGGTAAAAATGTATAATTATCTATGTTTATAACAAATATTCAGGCCGAGTATGTAGCCCATTTTATCATAATAACAGTTATGTTATTTCAGGGTTGTTAATGTTAACTGTTAAGATATAAAGTGCACGTTATTGAGGAATTAAGACCACTTTTAGCAAATACTCGTATTGCAATTTTGTTGTTTTTTGAAGACACTTTTGTGTCGACATTTTTAATAATAATTATGCAAACAAGAGTCAGTATTAGACAAAAACACATATAACTGACAGATGTCTTTTAGGTTATGAAACATGAAACAAATGCAAACTCGTAAATAACGGGTAAGTACAACATAAGGCTTTTTTTCGCGACTGAATATTGGTGAATATCTGACTTGTAGTCACTATTTCCATCTCTTTTGATCTTAGTTGTCATATGGTAGTTTAAATCTCTTCACTCACTCATACTACACATACCACAACATACATTTTCACTCGCGAAAAGAAGCCTATAAAATAGTTTGTAACACGTTATCTTAAATTATAACAGAGTTTCTTAAAGGCAAAGAATTTGGTGTTGCTATAGTTTAACGTAGGTGTTATTTGTCTAATGAAAATGAAGGGCTTGTTAAATTTCCATTTACTTGCAGGTTTTATAAACGCACATCGAAGGTAAGTTGTAAAATTTAAGTAACTTAGGGCGTGTACCATAATTCCAACATTTTAACCAAGGTTTTGGTTCGCCGTTCCGTAAATCTATAGGCCTGAAAAATATGGTAAATATGGAACGCGGTTTCCTGAAAATGGTAACGATTTACTTGAACCAGAGCAACCGCTAAAAATCATCGGTTGTTGGCGGTATACTTCTTTACTCACAGTATTTTTGTGGTTATGTTTAGCAAAATGGAGGTAAGTAAAAGTATTACCTTTTTTTTTGTTTCTTCAGATAAGAAAATATAAATAAAATTAGACTCTACTGCGGTAATAAATCACTTTTTAATTAATTTAAGAATAATATTAAATGTGGATATTGCAATTTCATACTGGGGACAAGTGTTGATACTGCCACAAAGTTTTTTCCATTACATTCTTGCCTGTCAGGATTTGAACATGTCGTTATTGACGAAAGTACTAGCGCAGTATATGAGTATACTCCTTTATTGGGAGAGAAAAACCATTTAGAAACTAGCAACACAGCTTCCACATGAAGCAGTGAGAAACAAGGTAAGCTAAATATTTTAAAATTTTAAAGTTAGGTTTATATAGTATTGAATTTCAGAAACTAATAGTGACAAATGGAGTCACGAAGAAATTTTATTGCTCATCAGTACATATCAAGATCATTCGCATAAATTTTCATCTCCACAGTATAATAAAAAACAAGTTTGGTCAAAAATAAGTGATATGTTACGTGAGCACGGTGTGATTAAAAGTCACATTAAATGTGATTAGAAGTGGCGAAATTTAAAAAAACAATACGAGAAAGTACTTAACTCAAATCAGGAAACAGGAAGCAGTAGAAAAGCATGGATTTATTTTGAGGTGAATATGGTATATTTTTGTAGTCGTTTTAAAAAATAAAATAGGATATTTCTCTTTTATTGTTCTTATTAGTCATTAGCGATTTTCTAAATTTTGATATTAACTGTGTACTATGTATTCTGTGTAATTTGCTTTAAAGAATTATTACTAGGTATATTAATTATTTATTTTGATTTATACCTGTTATAGTTTTGTTTGTACTATTTTCAGAAACTTCAAGATATATTTATGAAGAATCCTAGTATAAACCTTCATTTACTTTATTTAGTACAGGTTCTTTCAAGATACAAGGAAAAGTAGTGGGAAATTCCAGATTAATGCAATAAATAACAGTAAATTGGAAAATTCTCCAACAGACTCTGACCTTTGTAAAGGTAATAATTATTATCAGTATATATTGTATCCACTGCTGTTGTATATTTGTTTTTGCTTTATAGTAATGCACACAGAAGACAAAGAAAATAAATACAAAAATAAGAAACCAAAAACTGAAACGAAAGAAGAAGCGACGGAAAGGAGATATCGGGAAAAATTAGAGCAAAGGGAACAATTTCTTAATTGGATAAAAGATAATGGCGGTTGCTACAATCAGTAAAAAAATGTTCCAGTATCTTCTGCAAAGAATTTTTAAGTGACGGTTTACAAAAATTAAACATTCATTTTGTATTATTTTTAAGGATGTGCTAAAAGTTTTATTTTTTACACAATGTTACAATTTAAATTTTATTTATTAAATATTTCATGTTGGATTAACAGTTTTATTTACAATTATCATTTGAGGAGATGATTTTCAAAACGCAGTTTTTGAAGCATAACACATTTTGAGATTATTACGTAATAATCATATGTGAAAAATTGTTGGTGCTATAAAGATAATAATAATTAAGTGTATTAATCACCTGACATTAGAAAATATTTTTTGTGGTATTTTGTTTAAAACTTTTTTGAATACGAAAGAAATGCGTTTTGAAAACCAAAATCGAAAACTGCGTTTTGAAAATCAACTCATTTATTACAGAATAATACTGTAAATTATTTAATTACCTATACTCTATTTAATTGTTCACAAATATGGTTTCTTTTTTCAATACCATATGCATGTCTCTGTCGGTGGTCATTTTCATAATGCCTTTCCTCTTCTGTTACTTCGGGATCAACATCTGGCTCAAATTCAAAATCTATATATAATTTTACACCCCATTCTAGATTTCTTATGTCCATAAATTTCAATATACGAAAGCGGCCTTTTAATAATGCAAATGCACGTTCTATAACAGATCTACATTTTGAGTGTAAATAATTAAAATGTCTGCTCATTATTTAAATGGCCATTGTCCTTGTAGAGAGTAATTAAAGTTGGTAACAGATGGTATGCTTTATCTCCAAGAAGATGAGTATTTTCTGGAAATTTTTCATTGTTCAAAAGAAAATCCCATACCTCACTCCTTTTCAAAACAGTTGAATCGTGGACAGAACCAACTTCTCCAGCATAACAATGTGTAAATAACATTTTATAATCACATACTCCCTATAATAACATATTTATAACATTATAATACATAAATATTCCACCACAAGCATACCTGAAGAATTAAACAGGGAAATTTTTTTCTGCATATATAAGTAATCCCATGATCATGTGGTTGAGGAATTGGAATATATGATCCACCAATGCAACCAATAATATTTGGAAAACCTTTTTCAGCAAATTCATTTTTTATTATATTCATATTATCACCATCTGGCCAACGTATTATTGATGGACTCGATTTGACTAAACATTTTGTCACTCTTCTCACAATTCTCAGTCCTGTTGCCTTTCCTATATCAAAGCGGGTACATATTGATCTGACAAATGAAAATATAGCTAATAGCGATTAATACACAATGTAAAATAATATATTTACCGATAACTATCTGGTGTGGAAAAATACCATATCGCACATAATAATTGACGCTTTGCGTCTATTGTTGGATGGCCTACATCTACAGATGAGGATGAAATGTGTTCTTTCACTAAATTTAAAAGATAATTGAACGTCCTTCTGTGCATTCTAAAATTTTCTTTGAATTCTGTGTCTGTATATTTATTAACAACATCCTGAACAAAGTTTTGTATTCTCGGCCTTTTTGCTGCAATATAATACAGGTTTATTTACATTATAGATAGCACATCAATATTTTTTATTACCCCTTGATTCATCACTATCACTTTCTGCCGACGACGTTGAAGAAAATATAATATCTACAGTTTCAATCATATCCATATCAGATAAAAATATTAGAAAAAAAGTATTTTTAGTTTAAGTTTAACTAGTTAAACTAATTACACGAACTGAGAAAATTGTAAGGTTATGTTGAACAACCTAAACGTTCCGTAATTCAATAAAGAATTTCAGTAACCGACGGTTACCATAACCGTGGTTATGGTAATGTCCGTCAATTTATGGTATGGCCTTAGGTAGTATATACGTATACGTATATACTACTATATAGTATACAGGGTAGGAAAATACCGATGGTCTATCTGAAGTTACATGAGAGCGATAAAGTAAGCCATAGAAATCCATGCGATGGAGAAGGATGGCTATAATGAAGGCCTCTCATAGTCACCGCCCGTTTCGCCCTTCCACAAATAAGATCCACTTCTTATTTGTGGAAGGGCGAAATGGGCGTTGACTGTTAGACGCCTTCATTAAAGCCATCCTTGTCTATCACATGGATTTCTATGGCTTACTTTATCGCTCTCACGTAACTTCTGATAGACCATCGGTACTTTCCTACACTGTATACAATTTCGGGCTGTTATCTGTGAGCTGGACGAGAAAAGTCTGATTTTTATGGAATAAGTCACTTTGATCATCATCCGGGATATTCCAAAACCGTTAAGGTCCGAATGATCTTCATTTGTTTCTTTTTACTAATTAATCATTATAAAAAAATTACACGTGCAATCTGTAACTAAGACTTAGAATGGATAATTTTTAATCAAAGAGAAGTGGATAACATTTATTCATAATGATTCATGTTCTATATGGTCTTCAGCTTTTTGAGAATTCACTTCCTGCATTAGGGTCTTGAACTTTCTATATAAAACCACGTTCATCCCGTCCAAATCGGCTAGTCCTACTCCCGACCGCAGATATCACGTCTAATTTGTTTATAACAATCAAATAAAAACCGATAAACAAATGAAGATCGGTGGGGGTCCTTTACAGTTAAAGTACAACTAATAAGAAGAAGAATGAGCTTTACCGCATCAAGATTGGCCGTTTCCACCCCACGTAATATCCGAAATACGATTATTTGTTAATAATAATTGATTATTTATAAATAAACAAATTAGCGCCGCATGAGACGTTGTAGACTTTGATGTACATGCAATTACGAAGAGAACGCACTTTGTCCCATCAAAATNTAAACAGCAAATTATTACATTCAAGAACTTAAGGTGCATTTTTCTAAAAAAAATTGTTATGTAAGACATCGAAATTTTCACACCGTTGTTTAGATAATTATCACTGTCATCAATTTCGAACGAAAAAAATATGCGTTGTCATTAAAAAAAAAAATTATGTCATCGCTGCCGTAAGTGGATTATCGAAAAAAAATTTTTCCACATAACAAGGTGCCCTGGATCAAATAAAAATCGACGGGTCTCACCGTTTTTCGAAAAAAAAATTGTTTAACGAAAATATGAATTTTATTATTTATTATTTTTAACTTTTTTACCACGCTGTATAAGTATTTACCCTAAAATTATTGTTAGGTTAAATCAAACGAAGAAGGATCTAACAAGGAAACTACCCCAACCCGAACTCTCCGATTTCCCATATTTTTATATATGTTGTAGACTCGGTTGTAGAACATTAAAAATTAAATGACATATTTTTTTTATCGGCGGAAAATCATATTTAGCGGGTCAAATACATCCTCAAAGTTCGCTCCCCAAAACAATTTTTTCTAAATATCTGGGGTTCTAATCAATATTTTGGAATTAAAAAAAAATGTAAATTGCTTTTTAGAAAAAAACATATGTTTCACATTAGATTCCGTGTTTGGAGGCTGCTACCCTTATTTTTTATTTCAGAAAAACTATATTTTTCAAACAGTTTTTATATATAAAAAAATTCATATCAAAAAAATAAAAAATATGATATCTGTAAACAAATTGACAAAATAAAGTTCTCTTTTTAGGGGGTGAACAACCCTGTAGTGTGCTAAAAATGTCTGTACGATTAGAATTAACATTGCAAAATAAAAAGTTTTTACTTTTTCTCTAATCATACGAATAATTTGTTCTATTAGCCGCAAACAGATTTAAACGGATGCAAAGTACCCCTCATGTTCACCCCCAAAATATTTCTGTGACATCTCAATATTTTGAAATGAAATAAAATGGAAATTAATTCTTTTAAAAAAATAAAATGTTTCACAAGTGATTTCGTGTTTGGGGGTTGCAACCCTTATTTTTTATTTCAGGAAAACTAAGTATATTTTCAAACACTTTTTATATATAAAAAATTTATATTGATTCAAAATATTAAAGATATGATCTATGTAAACAAATTGACAAAAATAATTTCTAATTTTAGGGGGCGAACAACCCCCTAGTAATCCCCTAGTGTACGAAAAATGTCTTTTTCTCTAATCATACAAATAATTTTTTTCTCTTGGTCTAAAACGGATTTAAACAGATGCAAACTACCCCTGATGTTCACCCCCAAAAACAGTATATCCGTGATATCTCGGATTCTAATAAATATTTTGGAATGAAACAAAATGGAAATTACCGAACCCGTTTATTGGGGGATGAACAGCAGGGGTAGTTGATGAACAGCAGGGGTAGTTTGCATCAGTTTAAATCCGTTTTAGACCAATAGAAAAAATTATTCGTATGATTAGAGAAAAAGTAAAAACTTTTTATTTTAAAATGTTAATTCTAGTCAGCACAGAAATTTTTCGCACACTNTTTTTTTTTATAAGAAATAATTTCCATTTCGTTTCATTCCAAAATATTGATTAGAACCCGAGATGTCACAGAAATACTGTTTTTGGGGGTGAACATGAGGGATAGTTTGCATCCGTTTAAATCCGTTTGAGACTAATAGAACAAATTATTCGTATGATTAGAGAAAAAGTAAAAACTTTTTATTTTGTAATGTTAATTCTAATCGTATAGACATTTTTCGCTCATTGAGGAATTGTTCTAGAACTTAATTTTGCCAATTTGTTTACATGTTATATTTTTTTTAACAAATATGAATTTTTTATATACAAAAAATGTTTGAAAATATAGTTTTTTGAAATAAAAAATAAGGGTAGCAACCCCCAAACACGAAATCACTAATGAAACATTTGTTTTTTTATAAGAAGTAATTTTGCATGTTGTTTTATTCCAAAATATTGATTAGAACCCCAGATATTTACAAAAAAACTGTTTTTAGGGGCGAACTTTGAGAATGTACTTCACCGACATATTATTTAATAATAATAATGCAGAATTATTATAAATACCCGACTTGACAAAAACACATACAACTAAAAGAGTTCTTTTAGGTTATGAAATATGAAACAAATACAAGGTAGTGCGCAAATAACAGGTACCTACGTAGAACATAAAATAGCGGCCGTTTACGGCATGTTATTTACAAACGTTATTTCTAACATAACGTTTTAGCGTAAAATGGAATACATATTCGGCCTGATTATCTGGTAAAATTCTTTTCTTACTTTCAGATACAGAGACAGTTAAATATAACCGGAAGAAGTCTATATGTTATTTCGTAATATACCTATAGTGGTGAAAACAACCCGCTCTATGTAGAACAAATTAAGAAAGATGAAGAATTATGGAAAAAATCAATGGCAACAAATTTGGAACAATTTTATAAAAATTGTATACTACCAGAAATAATATACAAAAATATTCCACAGGGAAAAAGATGTATGGATCCAGAATATATTATAGAAGCTCAAATTAATAAAAAGAAATAATTTTATTTTATGATTTTTTAAATTTTTTCCTGTTCTACTGTACCTATTCTATTTATTTCTTTATTACTTTCATTTATTTACATATTTATTAAACTACACTGTTCCACAGAATTTCTGTTTATATTGGAGGTATTAAAGTACCTACAACTATTTTTTCAAGTGAAGTGAACTGAATACCTATTTCTCATAAAAAAAATTTAGTCTCAAATCGTCCTTTTGTACATAATTCTTTACACATTTTTTGGACAAAATAAGTATATCGTACATATTTTTTATATTTTCTCATTATTATGTATATTCACAATTAAAATTCTATTTATATTAATATGCGAATTTTTTTTATCAAGAATTACTTAATATTAATTATTAAAAATATAATATTTTCCATTTCTGTTTATACCAAAGTAAGCCGCTTTATTCACAAATCGTAATTATAACATAACTTTCCGTTATGAACAACTTTTCTTATTAACATTTTTTTATATTATCAAAAACAAAAGCAGTTTATTCTTCAACGTTATTAATTTTGTTAAATTTCTGATCACCCTGTATATATATAAATTACAGTTTTTCATGACAAACATATTCAATTAAAAAGCAAAATATTTTTTGTCACGAATTACTTTTTCTAGTAGAATAGAAAATAAAAATGTTTTCCCTCTTATCCACTAACCGTAGATACTAATATAGGTATATTAATTATAAATTATGGTTTTAAATAAACTAAAAATTGTTTATATTTCATATTTTCTAAAATTATATAATAGTATGGACTTGCACTGTTACTTATATACTTTTATACAATAATATATCTAAAATGATCATGACATTCTTTAAATATTTACGTATCAATTAACAGAAACCATGACTACCAATTCAGAATCAGGTTATACCAAATTAACCACAATACAACAGCTGTTCGTTAAAAATAACCCGAGTGCATTCAAAAATTAATTTTTACTAGTGCGACATCTATTACAAATCAAGCGAATTAAAGGTCAAACATGCTATTTATGAATGAATATTTTTTAATAATTTTATTCCAATAAAACTTTTTAAATAATAAAGTGTTGAACAAACTATGAAATAAAGTCTAATCAGTTTATTTATTAAAATACAACTATATAAAAAATTGCATAATTCTATAATACTATGAAGAAATAATCGTTTCTTTGTAAAAGTCCAAAAAACCTTCATATTTAGAAATTAATTTCTCACGAATTATTTACCTATCCCAATTAATTTTTGCTTTACTGTCTTCATTTATACTTTGCCAAATGTGATATGAAATTTTACTACTTTCTTACATTGCTTTAAAAAGATATATTGGAATAAAAAAAGGGCTGTTTTCTACCATTTTTCAGTATAATTTAGGCAACCAGAAATGCATCAGTTTCCATCCAGTGTCAGATGGTAGAGGGAGAGAGTACTTTGAACAATAAAAAAATTAAATGAAAAACATTTTCTCTTTTATAATTTTGTTTAATTAGTTTTATTTCTCATCAATAAATTATAAGCTGCCTACCCTTTCATTTGCAAGTAGAAAATTATGTTCTCTTTTTTTAAGAAATATAGTGTACCTAAAAATACGAACAAAACATTTGACACAAAGATTTGAATAACTGGAAAAAAGTATCGACTATGGGATATAAAAGACTTGGATGATAAATCCAAAAATGAAAAAAAAGTAGGGGTTGCCTTTTAAAAAATTGCATATTTACGTCATCAGGCCGCCATTTTGGCCAATATGGCCTAAGTCGAAAGGAAGCTAACTAAATTTACTAATTGCCGTGTTTTTGCATAATTTTTTAAAAACTAATTTAAAGAGATATGAAATTTATGCGGAACTTTATACTCACGGTATATACTGTTATTAAAAACGGTTTGAGAACCCCTGACACTTTTCGAACTAAAATCGATTCGGTTTTAATAGGGATAATAATGGATTTATCCCGAAATCAAACTCCAGTGTTGCCACATCATCGCAAATGTCGTTGAACTTCCCAATTCATGTTACTAAATAAAAAATTGGAAATTTTATAAAAGTAAAAAAAGTTTATCCGTCTGAAATTGCCTAATCGTTTTTGTCTTATTTATTAATGTACATTAGCAGCTAGAGAGGCTTTGATTAATTTCTTGGCAACACTGAATACTACGCAAAAGACAGACATCTGCAATGAATTTAACCTGAAAACTTCAGGTAAACAGAAAAAATAAGAAACGTCAATCGTCAAACAACAAAAGTCCAACAATTATCAGAAAGATGATAATATTTATGAAGCATTAATTTATCGTACAAATAATCATTTCCGAAATATTTTTGTACAAAGAAATCAAAGAAATAGTGCAATTATCAAGAATGATGAGTCATGCAAGCAAAAACTAAAATGTTATAAAAACGCAACTTCTTAAATCAACAATATTTTTCTCAGAAAGATTTACAAATCGTATTGCGCTAAAAGTATGTGCCTTAATTTTAGTATTACTACAGTTTAGACTAAGCAAGAACATGGATGAACGTAGAGTTGCTGACTATTTCGTTGTCGCTGGATTGCCTGATGATCCCGAGCCACTTGATGAAACAACCTTGTCCGAAGGGGGCAATCTAAAGGCCAGCCATGGCCAGCCGCCCATTACTGATATAAGTGTGATTTTTCCTAGTTTAAATGAAGTGAAGCCAGACGATTATGAAGTTATTACCAAAACACCGACTGGTTTGAATGCAGATCTTAACCACGGCAGTTTAAGGACTACAGAATGTTATCTGTGTATCCGAAGGGGAAGGGACAAGCCACCCTTAGTAGATATAGGTAATGTTTTATTATTTTTTGTTAAGACTATACTAAATATTTCTCCAACATATTCGTATATTAAAATTGATATCTCTTAAAACCATTTACTAGTAGCTATAAAACTATTGTCTTACAATATATTGGCTGTATTCTTGCTAATTTATTACAAAATATATTTACTTCTATAGAAATTCCGTTATACAATCATAATGTTGGAGTTATTTTTGCTTTTTTTTTGGGATTTTTTTATTTGTGTTTCTTACATACTTAATTTCAACATATTTTTTTCAATAGAAGTAGCTAGGTACGTCACTGCAACTGAACAATTACTATAATGTATGTAATTTTTATTTAATCTTCAATTTCTTAACCTACTTACTGTGCTCAAAATCTGCTCCAAAAATTTAAAAATTATGACTTTTTTAAGAAAACTAACTGGTGTGAGTGAATTGAATGTGTATTTACTTGCTAATGCCAAACTTTTCTTTTCATTTCTTATACTTATAAAGCCATTATATCATCTTGTTGAGTTGACGAAATATGATCGTTGTGGGACTTTATTCCTGCTTAGTAATTATTGCATTAGTTGTAAAGCTAAACTGTACAGTATTTGTAAATGCATTGAAACATATTACGAAACACAAAGGACTTTCCAAATTAACTGATTCTTTTTATAAATATGTAAATATCTGAATTTGTTTTATTCACTGAGTCAGAGTTGTACAAGATAATATAATATCATATTTTATATTTTAGGGAAACCCTTACAAAATTGATAACAAAATCATTCATAATTTGGAATTTTGTTTATTATTTTAAATTTTTATCTTTATAATAATCAGTTAATATTCAGTTTAAATTATTTTCTATTTATTATATTATTTAATACTATCTACATCGTCCTTTGTTATCTTTAATTAAGTAATAAATAGTTAAAATTGTTATTATGTTCTTTTTTGTATGTACATTAAGAAAAGACACTTTCACGAATAAGAAGTAATACACATTTTTTATTTATGTATTTTTGATCTTACTGTTCTAATTATTTAAATTAGAGACTTGTGCAGGAGAGGGGCGGCATATTATTATTCAGTAAGCCACATGTGTGCCCAGGAACAACTTACGTTGGTCAGTCCTACCTTTCAGTGCAGGAATGAGGGAAACTTACAAAATCTCATTACTTAGGGAAGCGGTCAAACGTCGACCAGTATTAATCTCTCACATTGACACAAGCCAACGTTTTTCCACCCTACCATACCTGTAGAGAGAGTGCCTAATTCCTCTCTACGAATATAGCTGCTCTACAGTCTTACGGCGGCAGGGATGGAACTCGCAACAGTGAAATTCATCAATTGACATCTTGAACTGGTCAACCAACGATCGACTAATATTTGAATTTGTTGCGAAACTTTTAAAAATGGGAAAATGGAACAATAAAAAAATTATATTAGTTAATAACATTAATTGTTTTCTTATGAAAATATAATCTCAAAGTGTGTAATTTTAAAGAAAAATTAAAATATTTACAAATTTTCATTTTTACATCAAAAATATATTTTTCATATTTGTTTCAAATTTTTCTTCAAAAAATTTATCTGAGAGGGAAACCACAGGAGTAATTTAGTGTAGAAGCTTGTGTAATATTTGAGCCAGTGTCTTCCCCCTCAAATTTACCTAAAATATTTTTTTTTGTTTTGTGCAAAGAAAACGTTATGAAATATATTACACATAAATACAGAACTGAATTTATAATTAGGATACAATAATTCCAGCAAGGAATTGTAAATTCAACAATTGAGTGGGAATTTTATATTTATATATATAATTGTGTGGAAATGACCCTCTTAGAAACTTTTAAAAACTATTGCATAATAAATATTTTAGGTGTTATGTATGAAGGCAAAGAATACCTTATGGCAGATGCCGAAGTGGTAAAAGAAAGCGTGGGAGGCAACGTAGCTAACGTAAATAACTCGACATCTCAAACATTTATAACGTACCGAAGGGGTGTACCTACAATGCCATGCAATGCCCTTGTCGTCACAGACATCTGCGTTGTCATTGCAAGCAAAGGAGAATCTCCTCCCCACGCTTTCTGCTGTATAAACAAGAACCTCAACAAAGGGATCGTCGGCAGCGACGTCTTTCTGTGTTACAAGAAATCGATGAATAGGGCTAAGTTGTTGACTTACAAACCTGCTGTTCTGTCGAGGTAAGTGATATTACAGGTACCTATCCCTTTTTCTATCATATTCTTCATCATCATTGATGTTGAAAAAAACAAATTTTAAAATTATTAATATATATAGAGGGTGTCAAAAAAAAAGTGACAGAATAGTATAAGTACAGAACATAATGAATTTTCTTATTCCAATTGAAGTTTTCTTGATTCTTGTGTATGTCCCCAAATGCATTTTGGTACTAGCTGTCATATTATGATTTTTGAAACTATTTTGTTGACACTAACAACTATTTATTTAAATTTCAGTATCTGCTGCGTCAGAAGCGAGTTTCTTAAATTTACAGACTCTTCAGAATATCAATATTTTCAAATTAGTATTTTTTTCAATTTTTATATATGAAACATGTACTTTATAATATGCGGTAATAAGTAGAGGATTTTTTAATTTTTTGTGGTTTTTGAGTAACAAACACAGCGCTGATTATTTGTCAGCTGAACCCACCAGACATATACATAGGTACTGGTTTCAGACTTGTTAGGAATGATCCAGTCAGTTTGATGCTTTAAATCCAGGTATGGAGTAAGTAAAAGATATAACTGAGTGCAGCATGTAGTGGCCACTGCTAATCAATGCTTAAGACCTACGATGCAGCCAAAACTAACAAAAAATTACCTGTATTGCAGTTAACCATAGTCCATAGTCATTTCAAATATAATAAAACCTTTCTTTTCGGTTGCCTTATGACCTTGCCTCAGAATATTCCATGACTATGATAATTTTGATTGGTTTTTGTGGTTTTTGCATTTCATTTTTTTTATTTATAAACCATAAATACGTTACTTTTTATTTTGAATTGTCATACCTCAAAAACTGCCAAAGATAAAGATACATTTCTCAAGAATCAAAAGCTACATGTAATAAAATACATGCTTTTAGACTATAAAATATATTTTTAACATTGGGAATAGGAAAATATGTAGTATCTAACAGTGTATATACTGGTATAAACGTTCGAAATGTAAGATGTTCCGTCACAGCCGCTGGGCGCAGGGATGGCCTATTGGGAGTGATTTTGGTGACGTGTAGGTTGATCTTTTTGCCTCGAATAGAAGTGATCAGAGGCTGCAAGGGTGAGGAAAATGGTCAACATTTTGGCTATTTTTATAATGCTATCGATATTTACGTACACTAGAGTGAACTTAGACAAAATTTTTTTATAAATGTAAGTCACTATGCAGTAGATACCTATTGACATTTGAATTAACAGTTGTTAATGGCCAAAAAAATATTTAAAAAAATATAATTTGTCAGTGCTACATTAGTGTCAAAATAAATTTAGGGTTTCACACAGTACTTTTGGTTGTCTAAATTTGAACCATTTGCGCTCCCGCGTACAATGTATTCCCTTGTCGTGACGATACGACGCAAAAGAGCTGGTTCGTTTGACGGTTGTCTCACCTATGACACACTGATGAGGACTAATAAGACCGAAACCGGTCTGTGCCTGCAATATAGCAGGTCGCTTCCTACTGTGGCCATTTTAATGGCACAGTTGGGAGTCAGCACGACAGATGGAGCCATTTGCGCTCCCGCATACAATAAATTTGAACTCGAGGAATTCCATTTAAATAAAATACACTTATGTCTCATTTGTATTCTTAAAATGTTTTTTTTCTCTCTTACCAAAGATAGGACTATCTTACATATTTTTCCTTCAATTTTAGGTATCCCATGGTGGATTTACCGAACTTTCCTTTTCCGAACTCTGTGCCTTTATTCTGTCTACCGATGGGTGCAACTTTAGAACTCTGGCCGGTGGAGGCTACCCAACCAAAACCAGTATTCAGTACTTTCGTTCTCACAGTTTCCGATGCAAAACACAAAGTGTATGGTTCCGCTGTGACATTCTATGAGAAATTCTCTGCAGATTATTTAACCGAGGAACAAAAAGGATTGTTGGAATACTCGGATGATTCAAAGTTTGCCTTGAATGTTAATAAAAGCATATGCATATTATCGCACTGGCCGTTTTCAGAGGATTTTGAAATGTGGTTGAGATGGTTACATGTAAGTTTTATACAAGGTGTTACAAAAAGTAGATTGGACTGTTAATCATAAATTCTTCGAGAGAAAATAATAGAAACTTTCTCTTCTTTCAGATACAGTGTGTCGTAATTGAAAAATTTTGAAAAGATTTTTATTAATGACTTTATCTTTTAAGATATTCAATTAAAATTTCATTGTGCCTACACAATTTTGTGTAATTTTGATTAAAAAAAAATTGAGATACAAAACAATTAACAAGTGGGTTATACGTTGATGATCCCTTCCCCCCACTTTTTTCTATGCACTTCTTTGGTTCAGAGCTATTGTTTTTTGGGTCAAGGATTTTGTGGTTTTAAAATTTTTTCAACATTGTAAAATTTGTATGCAGAGATTCATGTAAGGGAAATAAAATGAAAATTAGTTGATTGATATCACATAGGTATCTATAGGTGTTGCAATATCTCGAAAACAAAGTCTTAAGACTACAAAAGAGAAATAAACAAATAAGATACCTGATCTAAGACAACAGTAGTTCATTTTAACTGTAGGCATATGTAAGAAAATAGAAGGTGATCAATGAATACAATCTCTCTTTTCCTCTTTCGCTCTTTGTTTTTTTTTTATCAAAGTTAAACAGAACTTTTGCAACGTAGGACAAAAGTCTTTACAAAATTTCATTTGAATGTCAAGCAAATTTCTAATTCTTAGGCGATTGTGGCAAGTGGAGAACCCCAAACCATCCCCATCGAAAGATACATCACCCAACTACTAGACGAGGTGCCATTTCCTTCCCCCAGGATCCTTCTTCAACTCTCCAGCGACACCCACGACAGAGTCATCCTGACGCAACCCGAGGACCTGCCCCTTCCGAGGAGCGCGGCCAGTTTCAAGCAGCTGCTGCTCAATCTGGGTTCCGAAAACTGCCTGCAGGTGTTACTGCTGATCCTGACAGAACAGAAAATACTTATACATTCTCTGAGACCTGACACTTTGACATCGGTAGCAGAGGCGGTTTGTACGATGCTCTTTCCGTTCAAGTGGCAGTGCCCTTATATCCCGCTCTGTCCTCTCGGTAAGTAAATTAAGAATTTTAATGGACATTTAGCTATTGAATAGAAATCTATAGGTACCAGGCGTGGTGATTTTGGTGGCAGTTGCAAAATACAAAGTAAAATGTATCCATAAAAAAAAATGGTGAAAGTTTCAAAATTGAACAAAATTGTGCTTTCAGGGAACTATTGAAATAACATAAAAGTTCTTGGATATATTTTTTTAATTTTTGAAATATTTTGAGAAAACATTTTTTTCTTATTTTCTACTTTAATTTTTCCTAATAACTTATCCGAACTAGGATAAAGATAAGGTCGATTTTGCATTCCGAGAAATTTCATTTTAATTTACCAATTACCAATTCTTTTTAATTTCTTCAGTTAGCCTTAAATACAGGGTTAGAACTATTTAAAGGGAGACTACAGGGATATCGGAAACCGTTATTCATACAGGGTGGCTCAAATTACAAAAAAGTTGCACAATTATGGGGTGAGTGTTTTGGTGAAAACAGATCCAAAATATCTTCTATAGTTTCTGAGATATCTCGAAAAAAGTGAAAATATCGATTTTCTATTTTTCGTTATAACTCATTTGTTTTTTAAGATAGCCTCACTAAATTTTGTATCTAGGCATTATCCAACAAGGCGATTTTAATGGTGAGTTGAGATTTTTTCTATCTTCCATTGTTTCAGAGTCGCGATAGTCAACTTTTTTTTTCTTATGGACGCCATATTGGTTCTCATGGATTGATAAAGAAAAAAATATGAATTCTACGATGTATCACACTTTACAAAAATATCCTGTCTGCCTGCAGCAATTTGAATTTCTTTTTAATTTTTCTGAAATAGTAGGCTGATGTCCGAATTGTCATTTTCTTTAGTGTAAAACATAACATGGTGTTCCATTTAAATTGACAAAGTTAACATCCGGGGCCATTTTGTTTGAACTTCATTTGTTTTTCTACATCATTTTCGAAAACTTCATAAAAATAGTGCAACTTTTGTATTTCACATTTTTTTTTATAACTCTTAAAACAAAAAAGTTAAAGGGGGGGTCAAAATAATCCATAGGATTCATGTCCGGAGTTCTGGTCGACCAATTAATGAGTCCATCTCTCCCAATCCATTGTTTACCGAATCTGTTATTTAAAAATTGTTTCACTTTCAAGGTACTATGTGCTGGAGCACCATCATGCTGATATCAGCATTCCACATAACGCATAACCGGCAATATTTGGAGAAATTCCTCTACATAATTTTGTAGAAGGTCCAAGTACTTAGGCCCATTTAATGTACAGGGTGATTCACTATATTTTGACCCCCCTTTAACTTTTCTGTTTTAAGAATTATAAAAAAATTTGAAATATAAAAGTTGCACTATTTTTTATGAAGTTCTTGAAAATGATGTAGAAAAACAAATGAAGTTCAAACAAAATGGCCCGGGATATTAACTTTGTTAATTTAAATGGAACACCATGTTATGTTTTACACTAAAGAAAATGACAATTTGAACATTAGCCTACTATTTCAGAAAAATTAAAAAGAAATTCAAATTGCTGCAGACAGACAGGATATTTTTGTAGTGTGATACATCGTTGAATTCGTATTTTTTTCTTTATCCATGAGGGGAACCAATATGGCATCCATAAGAAAAAAAAAGTTGACTATCGCGACTCTGAAACAATGGAAGATAGAAAAAATCTGAACTCACCATTGAAATCGCCATAATGCCTAGATACAAAATTTTGTGAGGCTATCTTAAAAAACAAATGAGTTATAACGAAAAATAGAAAATCGATATTTTCACTTTTTTCGAGATATCTCAGAAACTATCGAAGATATCTTGGATTTGTTTTCACCAAAACACTCGCCCCATAATTGTGCAACTTTTTTGTAATTTGAGCCACCCTGTATGACTAACGGTTTCTGATATCCCTCTAGTCTCCCTTTAAATAGTTCTAACCCTGTATATGGTATTTTTCTATACAGAGTGTAAATTTGAGTGGGGGTCAATAGTTTATTTTAATAAACTATTGTAATTAATTTATTTTAATCTTTTATAGTAAACTAATTTTCATACCCAGCGACTGGACAAGCTAATTTAATCTCAAGCAATGGCCCGCTTTTGGGAACTGGGTTGTACATTGTTTTCAAATCTCATATTTAAAGGAAAGGATATTAAAAAACAAATTTCGACACCTCTGTCCGTGAGGTACTGCTCTTTGGCGCGTTAATTTTATTGAGTGGATGTTCGCCACAAGCCCACCTTTGTCATCGCTTGCCTCTGAATAATGGTCACAAATTACACAACAAACCTACCTGCACCACCGCAACCTGTTGATGGCTTCCAGCGATGAAATCCTTCAAATTCAGAGTTAGATGTACTACCTCGAAAAGACAGGCAATCACTGATTCCCTTCGCTTTGTCACCATTAACCCACACTATCTCCTTCCACTAACCACGTGCACTGTTAGTTGCCAACACAATATTTTTACGTTGTACACATCCACAAATATATAAATATATGAATATTTCAGGGTGGGCGTGCTACAATGTTGAACCAATCTGCCAAACATTTCCTTATTCGATACTTATAAGTTGGCGTAATCTAATATTGGCTTCTTTGCTCCTGGTGACTTTAAAATGACATGTTGTTAAGTTATACAATAACAATCTGTTTTACCAAATTATTTTTAATTGTCACTGTCCACAGTGTAGGTTGATTTAAAACATTGATAGTGCACTAATATTCCCTGGTTTGAGTTGCCCAGTGCCAGTGATGTCGTGCACAAGAATTAAAGTGCATTTTAAAAACTATTTATAACTCGACTATTTATTTGATTAAAAAAAAAGAATTTCTGAAACTGACCCTCACTGAAAATTACACTTTGTTACTTTTGAAAATTATTTAAATAATTAGAAAGTTTCCCTTAAAACTTGCTTAGAAAGATGGTGGTTGCGATATTGCCAATATTACAGTGATGCAGTACTTCATTTGTACTATAGGAGCAAAAACTCTATTCTCATATTTTACTTAGTTGCTCTAATTTTGTCTAAAGATTTTGGTGACAGCTAAAATGCAACGAAAAACATAATATATATTTTAGGTCTCGTAGAGGTGTTACATGCCCCCTTACCTTTTTTAATCGGTGTTGATTCGAGGTTTTTCGACCTGTACGATCCCCCTGCTGACGTCAGTTGCATCGACTTGGACACCAATATAATAACAGTAAGTATCCAAATAATGAGTTCTCTGACAAATTTCACATGAGAACATGTTTTAGGTAGCGGAAACTCAACGACAGTCCCTTAATGTTAAACTACTACCGAAACGTGCAGCGAAAACATTAAAATCCACATTGGATTACTTATATTATCAGTTAAGGAATAATCCTGTTAATACTCCCGAAATTGTGGACCAGGACAACATAGAAATTGAGTTCCAGAGGAGAAAAAAGGAAGTGAGTGTAGTTTTTGATTTATACTAGGCGTTTCTAGCTAAGTGGCCATATATAAAATTTTAATTAGAAGCGCAAGTAAAAGCAAATGAGGCGTATGTCGAGAAACGTGCCCCTATTTCACATGAATCGCTGATCTGTTTAATAGTCTGGTCAGTATTTCATGGAACATACCCTTTTTTGTAATCAAATTAGTAGAGAGAAGAGTCTTTTTCAAGTCTAACAGTTTCATAGCAATATTTTACCAACAGTAGCTAAAATATCCCAGCAAAGAGCCTCATTTGGATGATTTCTTTCAATGTAGTAATCAAATCACATCATATAAAATTACCCTAAATATTTAAATTATTTGAAATTATACAGACTGTCCCCGGATGGGGTACAACAGTCTTGTAAACTTTTTTTTGGTGGTTTTTCGAGAAACAGTTATTCTTGATAAAAAATTTTGCTTGTCTTGGGAAGCCATAGCCAGTAACAAAGTTGTTCAAGAACTAAGAAATTCTTAAATACAGCATTTAGTCAAAAAGGAAGAATTTTGCAAATAAGAAGAAATAAGAAGACTCAATTTTTAACTGTCTTACTTAAGAAGGTATATCGGGGTCCGAGGGAAGTGAGGAGCGTAGGGGGAGTCCTATGCTTTTCTTATGGGACTAAAGCCCGCTGCCAATTTGAAAAAATTAAATTCTTTTGAAATTATTTGCGATAAACATTATCTATATAGCAAATAAATCTATTCATATGCACATAGCATACATATTGACTAATTAACAACATAAAAATATCATATTTAAGTAGTTTTAAATTATATTTAATGAACGCATAAAGACTATGTAGATATGGCGACAGCGCTAATAATTGACTAGCAGTTGTACACACTGTGAACCTACAGACCTCGGACATCGGAGATATTGCGCATCAAATTCCAGTAAAGATGCGTACGCGTTCAAAAATGTATTGTGTGTAAACTATGTACAATATAATTATTATATATAACAAACAGTGGCGGCACGTGGGTTTGAATACAGGAGGGGTGCACTTTGAAAAGAGGACGTACATCATAAGAGCTGCGGGGAGTGTGGGGGGCGGCAGCACTTCGCTTAGCGCCGCAGGCGAAAAATTTTAAGGAATTTGAAGGTCATTGTGTTTTGCAAGTACCCCAAAATGAATACTGTCAGTGTGTAAAGTAGCTACTTAGATACAATGCGAGAAATAAAATTCTTACGTGTGGGGGCTGAAGTGGATAATCGATCAACCAACCCAGTTAGGATGTAATTATGTAGATTACTGTAATAGTTCATTCTGTATAGTTTTTGAAGTTCCTTTAAAAGCATGGGCATCACTAAGATGTTTATCTAAAACGGGATCAATTTTTGCACTAAGTATAGTCTATCAGTTCTAAAAAATACCTCTTTGTTTACCGAGTCACTTTTTTTATTATGTCCACGAAGAGGAAGGTTACATGTACCACATAGTTTTAAGATATTTATAATTTTTGAAAGAAGCAATCGATTTTTCTTAACTGTTTCGTTATAACTATTTATTTGTTCTGCATAAGCACTATTTATACAAGAAGCAATATTTACTCTTCCTAAAAGTAAAAAACTCACCAACTTATTTTTGTGTTTTGGAGAATTTCCATCTTTATCTTAATTTCTAAATGTTTCAAGTCAGAAACTCCAGTTTTCGTCCAATTTTCTTCGCCTCCTCCAAACAATAAACATACAAAACAAAAAAATCTGTTTGGTCACAACCACACAACCTTATCTTATCATAAATTTTTTTTCAAATTTGCAAAAGCCGGCCCACTTTTGCACCCTTTCTGCACCTGAACTAAATTCAACACTGGCGTTGGACGTCCGTTTTTTTTCAATTCGACTTTTTCCTCTAAACTTAAATTACTAATAACAAGTTTTTTTATTTCACAAACCCTCATTTTAAACTTAAACTTATAAAATATAATGTCTTAAAAAGCACCAAAGCAAAAACAAAACACGTATAACCACACTTCAGTGATACGGGTTACTGCCTCATGGAGTCCCAAAACAAAGCTCGCGAGCCTATCGTCGCCTATCCCCTCCACATGCCAATTTGTCCAATCATATGTAAAAATATGCTTGCACGATGAACTCAGATTTCACGGTCCGCGACGATGGAGTGGGGATTGCGCGCGCGGTGAAACATAACTCTTTGGTACGATCATAGATGGCAGATGGCATTAATCTGAGCTACGTTCAGGAGTACATGCACTTTATGCAACCAACCTAACATCCAAGAGATATTGAAGCATGCTATTTAGATTTCTTATTGATTTAAATAAATACATTATTTTAAGTTTATAGTTTGAAAATATCTGGGGGGGCGGAGTCCCAGAGTCCTCCTTCACGAGCCGCCACTGATAGCAAATATATCGTATTATCCTCGCGAAGATTTGTATCCTTTATTTAAAATCCGTAAATTATGTGAACTGTTAAAACAACGAGAATTATGTTAATTTACATCTAAAGAAATGAAATGACACTCGCGCCCATCTCTTGTCCAAGTCAGAGAAAATGTTGGATGCAATTATTTTGGAGGTTCTGTGATAGAAATTACATTATTACTCACTGTTCATGTTTCGTGTTTTTAATCTCTATTTTAGTAATGTTACAAAAGTTTTACAACTATAACTAATTTTTTAGATATAAAGAGAAATATTTATGTTCCTGTTCCTTTGTTACTCCGTACAAATGCTTTTATCTCAAGTATTACGAATTATATTAATTAAGTAAATAAAACTTTATGTAACCCTAAATATTGCTGGGTACGAATTATGATGTTTTTATATTAAATATATTAAAAGGATTTATCAACTCTATTTTTTATTCCGATAAATATATCACAGCTTCCTAGCCTTTTTTAATTAATTTAGTTTTTTAAAAACATTACATAAAATAATTGTTGTGGATAATTTATTGTTGATAACAGTGTACATGGGATTTAGGAAAAATGTATATGTTTGAAATCAATTTCGTTTTTATCAAGTTTTTCAAATGTATTCCCTCCTTGCTGTCAGCTGATTGCGACGTTGCCACATTAATCCACAAGTCAGACAGAAATGCAATTATTGGTTTCTGTTTCTAATTAATACAGCTGTACTATGTTCAAAACTTACATTAGTTTTACATAAAAAAATAAGAACTATCTATGGAAAAGTTTTGTTTCACAATTTCTACATTTTTTTCTCAGTTAAGGGCAAAAAAAGAGCCGCACCGTCCATCTTTGCCATATAAACCTATGTTAAAATGAACAACTTTCAACAACAATATCTCAAAATCTAGATTAAAAAAAAATTCAAAAAAATATGACGCACAGAGGGTGCACTGGGTAATACGCTATATAAATTTCAAGTACATCTGTGCATTTGAACGAAGCAAGCCCTATTCAACTTATAAACCTCCAAGTAATATTTTTCTAATCTTTAATATGTAATATGCTTCTACGGCAAATGCGCGTTTCGCATATAACCTGACCAAATATCCATGATAATTGATAACTACCCACTCTAAATTCACAACGTTGACAGCGCAAGTCCGCCTCCCCTCTACTTTTTCTATAGTGGTGCTTCTAAATCGTGGTGTTTCATTGACTCACCTTGTATAAATTTTTTACTATTAGTTATCAATAAAAAATTTTGATTATCTTTAGCCCAGTATCTACAATTTTGAGAGGAAACCATGCTATTAGTTGTATATATTGATTTGTCAGGAAATAAAATATTGCATGAAACAATCTGTTTTCAATCAGTTTCTCGCCCATTGTTAAACAAAAGTCTAAACGACAACTAAAAGTTTTATTTGAAATTGTTTATGTGGATTCTTTCATTTTATGTGAGAATGTACAGCATATACAGAGTGTCCCACCACGAACTCCATCGATGGGTATCTGAGAAACCCCTCGAAGGATTTTTTTTGAAATTGTGATGGTTTGATAAGAACCGTTGGGCCTACCAAGCTAAAATATTTTCAAGGTCATCGTACTTCCGGTTATACCGGAAGTCAAAAAATTTTTATCGAATATGAAGTTCAGAAAATGTGGAAAACTCAAAATTTTTAAATGGAAACCTCTAATTTTTTTAACGTATTCTCATTTTGCACTAAAATTAAGTGTAACTTTGTTAAAGTTTCCCTATACCTAAACCCATTGGTTTTCATTTTATTTACGAATAAATATTTCCCTTTTCTTAAGATGATGTTTCCATTTATTTCACACATTTTAGGTTGGCAGTGACAGGTAAGTAACAATCAACATGACAACAAAGTTAGTATTGACTTCCGGTATAACCGGAAGTATGATGACCTTGAAAATATTTTAGCTTGGTAGACCCCACGGTCCTTATCACACCGTCACAATTTTTGCCAGATATCCGTCGATGGAGTTTGTGGTGGGACACCCTGTATAGGTACAGCAATTAAAAATAACATATCTAAAGGAAAGAATATTTTCTTAGAAACTACACTAAATGCTACAGTGAACTAATTTCTGCCCTTACAGCTGGCCCAGGAACTAGAGATTCAAGAAGCATTCCTCAAATTCATGATTCTGACTTTGAAAGGGTACAGGTCATACCTCCTGCCCATCACCAAAGCACCCACGGTGGGCACTACCGATCCCCAAGCACTTTTCCAACTAGGGGATTTCCTCAAGAGCAGGGATAAGGCCCACACCAAGTTCTTCACCATGATGATGCGGACCCAGATGTTTATTAGGTTTATAGAGGAGAGGAGTTTCGTGGCGGATGGGGACCAAGGCTTAGCGTTCTTCGACGAGTGTATCGAGAAGATAGGCAACGACGAAGCTCCAACCCACCGACTGATAGAGTTAGACTCGGTACATAAGAGTGATAGGACTGTGTTCGTTTTGCCGCCTGAACCGTCCCCTCAAGGTATGTTATCAGACGAGCCTTAATTGGATAACTTACGAAAGATTTAGAAAAATTAATCAAAATCGTAATAAAGAATTGAAAATGTTTTATAAATTGTGCATAAATAAAGAGAATACCAAATCAAGTAAAATTGAGAGTTGTTCAAATGTATTGGTCAAAATATAAATTGAGCTTTGTCCTTGTTAACATAAAAACTTACAGATGTTCAAATGTATTATTGTTTTATAGTGGTATTTTTTTAAATTTAGAACACCAACACTTTCAAGTTACATGGTTACTACAGGTTTAGAAAATCGTGAAAATTAGGAAATAGGTATACGTAAATTTTATAATAGTCAGAAAACACAGGGAATGTTAAGGAAATAGAGGGATTTCTCTTAAATTGTTTTGGTCTATTTTTAGTCCAGGCGAATAGGTTTTTTTTCAAAAATCGGGCCTAAATCACTCTGCACGAATCTGTTATTTGTTGAAAATTTGGTCAACCATCTTGGATTCGCCATCTTGAATTTTGCAAAATTGACCTCGGATCCGTGATCAGCCACCCCGAAAACCCCCGTATATTTGGCGCGAATCTGTAATTTTTTTAAAATTCGTGATATCTGACCTTTTTTTTGAGGATAGGAAAAGAACCATCAATTCTGACTGCGGATTCAGATTCGGCGGGGCCTTAACCATATATGTAATTCTTACTTGTCAAAATGTCGAAAGAAAACGTAAAAGTCAATAAAAATGTATTGTACGGGGTGTGGCGATGACTTTCACAGACATTTGCTTACACCATTTGAAAGAATGGAAAAAATTAGTTACTTTAAAAAAAAGCATCGCGGTAGCTGCTTCAACTAAGTGCAGCATGGTCAGCATGCACTATGACGTCACAGCGCTCAGCCGCGCGGATCACGTTGTCTTTAACGAACATTTACTTAATAATTTCTTAGTCAAATCGATTAAAAAAAAATTCTGCTTATAAACGAAGCCTTCTACTTCTAACGAGCCCAAGTTTATTACAAAATATTAAACCAGAATACCATTAACAAAAATTATCTGCTCCTATTTCTTTTTTTTTTTTTTATTTTGTTAACCAACATGACGTTCAACTCCTACAAATACACAAATTTAGGTTTTTATTCTGTATATTCTTTAGTTAATTTTAAGCCCATAAAATTCGACTTAGATCTGATTTTTGATACAGGTATGTTTTTGGTCGATTCACCCGGACTATTTATGACCTGACAAAAAGTACACATTTTACATTTTATTAATTATTAATATATTGAAATCTTATGGTAATTCAAATCTAACATTTTTAGGCCAACTGGTCCTGTAACAACTGGAGTTAAATAAAACAGTAGTTCAAATGTTTCAAACCACATTTGTAGAAATTTAAAAGATAATTATTATTATACTTGATTTATAATCTGTTACATAAAATTTAATATATTTTTAGGGGAGACATATGAGTATACTCATTTTAGTTTGAACCCTGCGTCGCTAGCGAGTTCCAGTAAGAGAAGAAATCATTTATCGTCTTTATACCCGACGGTGATGCCTGGCTCTCCCATGGCCAGAAGAACCAAACACGAAATAAAATCTGCTCAAAAACTGGCCCGGTGAGTTACTTCGATAACGAAAGATGAAAAAAAAAATTGTACTCACGTTCATTTCAGCAAGTGTCTTCGTTCCCCCGAGCTGTGGGCGAGATGTCTGAGCGGCACATGCCACACCCTGTACTTCATGATCCTGCCCAGCATGCTGTCGCTGAACGTCGGCAAGGAGAAAGCCATCTTGCAGCAAGCCTACGAGTTGCTGGTCCGAGCCATGCACCAGAGACTGGCCTGTGATGAAGTTTGCTATCGGCTGATGATGCAGCTCTGCGGCGAGCATTCTAGGCCGTTGTTGGCTGTCAAGTTACTCGTGCTAATGAAGAAGTATGGTATTCAGCCCAACGCTCTTACATATGGGTGAGTGAGAAGCCATAATTTTTTTTTTTCAAAGATTTACCATGACAGTATTTCATATATTTTTTAAATTTTTAATTGATTTCTGCAAAAAAAGAGGAGTAAAATGTTTAACTTTGAATTACTGTGTCAGATGATATAGAAGAAGTTTGTATTTTAAAGACATAATATCTACGATCCGAGAGTTGTTGATTCATTTGTGTGTCGAGCCCCACGTTGAGCGCCATATCTATGCATCTGGTTTTTGTTTTCATTCCGATTGGGTCCGCAATGGTGAGCTTTTTGAATTCTGGTCACCTATATCTACAGACGTCACGTTATGGTGTAGATAAATTTTTTATTTTTGACGGAAGGATCCTCAGTTCCTCTGAACAGACTACAGGAGACAGGATACGCAAATTTTTTTTGAGTTTAAACACTTTTTTGACTGCTTGGAATCTTCAGTACAGAACTTATCCACTATATTTGAGTTAGCAAGTCATCAACTGAGAAACTTACTGTTACAATATTTAAATTTTACTGTAGTTGAGTCGGATTGGAACTAAACGAACTTTACTTTTGTTGAATCGAAATGGAACTGCTTTTGGATCAAAATTCATTGATATTTATATGTTTTTAGTCCGGTGTCCCATGCATCCGAATTCCGACGATACGAAGGTCCGAAAGTGTTCCTATTGGTTAATAATTAATATACATTCAAATTTTCATTTTCATCCGAAATTTTTAAAATTTATATGACGTCGGAAAAAGTAGAAATAATTTTAACTTTTATCCGAAATCGTATGTTTTTTAACCTCACTTTTTAAGTTTTTAACATACTATGATTGTTGCTTGATATATTTACAGTCAAATAAATGTTATATTATAATGTCGAATGTAGAAAATATATTACGTATATTTTCTATAATATATACCTATGGTTGTCATTTGAAAATGTTTCACCTTCATCTTGTAATAAATTCCATGGTTCTATACTTGATTTCTATGAGATTAATTTCGGATGCATGTGAATTATAATATTATCATTCGTACGAATTAAAATATTTTCGGATATCGTACATCGAATTTCGGATGCATGGGACACCGGCCTTAGTCCCATAAAACTTTATGCTAATTCGCTTATTGTGTCGCAAATAAGGACTGAGCCAATAGGAGTGAGGCTTTCCACTCCCTCTCTGGCGATGGGTTTCAACCCCTATAAATATGTAACTAAATACTTACAGAAAGTTTCCGAATCTACAGTTTGGTTCACAAGAGCTTACAGACTGATACATCTGCGAAAAAGAGAATTTATAAAAAATTATTTTTTAACTGTTTAGTACAATTGTTAAGATAAAATTTATTTGCCTAGTATCTTGTCCAATCACCTTTATTGTCAATTATAGCTTGATAGCATCGAGGTATGCTTTTTGACAGATTTTTGTGCAGGTAAAGGTAAGTAAGGTACATTTTTTTTGGAGGTAAAGACCTCCAACTTTCCCGAATATGTCTGATCCACTGCTTTCGTTTTCCCTTGTACTTTAATTTCATCCAATTCAATTGGATTGGCATAAGGGGACTGAGGAGGCCAATCCATTGAAACAATGCCATTTTTGCATTTCCAATCTCTGCATAAGTGACTCTGATGTTTGGAACCGTTATTCTCTTGAAGCACCCATGAATTGCAATTTGGACCAAACCATTTTCGAGCAGCCTTTAATAAACATTTCTTATATATATTGACCATTTTTTGGGCATTCAAATTGTTTGTGAACAAATACAAAGTGCCAAATCCCACAGAGGCAACCCCAAACATTCACTTGCATTGGGTGCCACATTCCGGCAAGTTATCGACGTTTTTAACCCATTTCCTGACAAATGCTTCAGGCTTCTGCATGTATCGAGCGGCAGCAGCAAACGATTTCAAGTTAACCTTTTCTGTTTAACCTTATCGCGTATTGACTCTGTCCTGTTGGATATTGTATTTCTAAATAAATTCATTAATTAAATCTAGGAAATGCTATTTATTAATTTATCGATTAACTTTTAACATTTTATACAGAATTCCACTTTTAGAAATCACTAAATGATTTATATTTTTAAATTCTTGTGTTTTTAGAGGTTAGCAAAAAAATTCACCTAATTTCTTTTAGATTATATAATCGTTGTGTTTTGGAAGCTGAGTGGCCAGCTTATTCAGGTTCAAGCCAGTTGCTTTGGAACAAACTGAGAAATGTTGTCATAGGTGCCGCTCATTTTAGATTTGCCGCAAAACGCAAAGCGGTTAGAAGAATGTCTGCTTCTACAGAAGGAGGTAAGATCAAGTAATGGTATTTTTTTTGTGCCATGGAAATTCCTATAATGTGCTTTGACTGTTATAGGTTCAAGTTTGTTGGACCATACAGACAGAGCGGCCTCTCGCTCTTCGCTCGATTCACACGAGGCCATCAAAGAAGACAACAGCCTCCTGGACAAGTTCCGCAAGGTGGCAAGTATCGTGAAAGGAAGCCTGAATAATCTAGAACAATCGGTGCCTGATACAGGAGTTAACCATGAAAATGAGATCAATAGCGAGGAAAAATGTAGCGAAAAAGAGGAAGAGAAGTTAGCGAATAATTATATATCCCCTGACAGCCCCTCAGAGAGTAGGCTGCTCTCTAGATCGGAAAGTGCAGGGGATGCGAATATTATTGATAAGTTGCAGAATAACACCAAGAAGGCTTGTTCGAGGGCGTTGCAGTTCAACGGTAACGAAGGGAAATTTGTCGAAAGTGGAAAGAATTCCCCAGCGAAGTAATACGAATTTTTAATTTAAATTTTGTTATAAGTAATTTTTGTTGCATTTTCAGAGCATCGCCTAGAGAAATAGTCACAGAAAATGACCCCCTAGGGGCCTTTGAGCAGCCTCCTCCAGAAACGGTCGTAGCGCCACCACCGGTACACGTTTACTCTTCCCCAACAACAAACTCAGCAATCATGGACGAACCGATACTATTCAGGTCGTCCGTGCACCGTTCTGCCACTTTCGAGGGCAGTCCTCCTGCTCAGAGCAAGATCCATCGATCGGAGACCGTGCCCGCGGCTACAGTAGCTTCTAGCCTGGCCAGTCTCAGTTCCAGCTTCAAGATCGGTTTCAGGTGAGTTTTATGTCTATTACTTAGTTTTGTCAGGTGTAAATAGGCTCGAAAATAATTTTTGATTCACCATACATCCAACATTCAACATTGTTTGCTGAAAACGTGTTCATTGATTCTGGTGATAACCTAAAATCATAATTAATATTCTTACAATTCATGAGGTAGTTGTAAAATAACTTGTGAATGTAGCAGCGCAATTACCATTTTAGTTTTATATTTTTTACATAGTTTGGTAAATTATAAAAATCGAATAATTTAGGATTTATAACATTTTTTTCACATACTTATTTCACTTAATATTTCTTCAATAATTTTCATCGTAACAGAATTTATAAGAAATACAGGTATATCTCGCATATACGGCGGTTCTATAGCCATAAAATAATTCATAACTTTTTTACTAATACTAGGAAAAGAGTTGAATGATTATTTATTTGTAACTTTGTATTTTTTATTACATAAAATGTATTTAATAGCCCAAAAAATACAAGCACATCTTATTAATACAACACACTAATCAGACATCATCGCTATAAAACGAATCACAATATCCTTGTAAGAACTGTTTGAAAAGTGGAGGATATCTTATTTTTATACAGGCTGTTTTTAAATGAAGTAGCAAAAATGGTGCCAGTGAATGTAGAGCTTAAATTAAGAGGATTCAAGTAAAAATATCTTATATGAAAGTTGCACCCCTGAGGCGATATACCCTCTTAAAGGGGGGGGGGGTTTATTTTTTTAATAAATTAACACTTTCTGTCAATCAATAATTAGTACCAATTGATTAATTTATTATCAGAATCATAATGCAAATAATATTTATACCAATGACGAATATGTCGACATGCTCCAAGTGTTTTTCGAATCCAGAAAAAAAGAAATGCTGCAGAAAGATTATACCACTAAAGATATCCAAACCGACTGATTCCTTATAGACAAACATTGGCCTCGGTGGAAAGAAGGCTTCGCAAAACTGGTAAAATTCAGCCCAATAGGGTTGTCCACTATAAAAACAAACCATATACAAATTGTTGAGTCAAAGATTTTATATAAAAGAACCTGTCTGTATAGTCAAATTTTAAATATATAACAAATTAGTGGTAGAAATCATTTATGAATTTTTCTGTTACATAAAAACTAGTCTGACGTCATAAGGGGCAATTGATCAAGAAGCTAGTAGCGATCCTATTGCATAATTTTGAAGAAGAAGAAAATATGTCAAAATTGTCCTTCAAATGCTGCCTGTTTCCTGTTTTTTAAACAAACGTGACACTAGTGACAACAGTCTATCAATTATAGTACATTGTGTAACGAGTGGGGAAAAGTTGCCAATAGCGCCACGCGGACGCCCAAGTGGCGCTATGGCAACTTTTCCGAACGAGTTGCACATACTATTTTCTATCATAAGTGCGAGTCGTTATGGGACCTATAGCGTAGGGGGTTAGGTGCACGGAAACTGCTAGATAGTACAACAGCGTGATGTTATTTTCATAGCGCAACGCTCCAGCGCTGTGCTATGAAAATAACATCACGCTGTTGTACTATCTAGCACTTTCCGTGCACCTAACCCCCTACACTATAGGTCCCATAGCGAGCGCGTGTGATAGAAAGAGTATTTGTGATAGTTATTATTAATTTCCTGATTGTAATGGATTCAACAAAATTTAAGTGGTGTTTTGTTCCACATTCCACATAGCCAATTGCATTATCTCTATAAGACTCCCGAACTGCACTATAAATTTCCATAAATAAATAGGTATTTTATGTAAATAAACACAATAAGATTAAAACGCTCGTCTCTTTTCAATTCAAAATTCAATTCATGATCATAAAAATATCAATTTTCAGTAAAATTTGCAAAGTAGCTATCACAAATCCCGATTCACACATTCTGCTTTAATTATAAGGGAAGCTAATAATTGATGATTACTAAATAATAATTTTACTTAATAAAGGAATTTGAAGATTAAGGAAAATAACTCATAGACTTGAAAACATTTTATACGACAGTGTCACTGACAGACTGGCACTACCGACAGTGTTTAAATTTACACATAATTTCACTACAAGGTGCCCCTTATGACGTCACGGCCGTTTTGAAATGTTATAAAAAAATCAGTTTTAAATTATTATTTTAAAACTGTTCTGACGCATTTCTCAATCTCTAATTGTGTATACACACTAGTTAGTATGTGTAGAATTATATTATCTACTTTTTGAAATTTGGTCAACAACCCTATAGTGAGGGTGCCGGAAGAAGGCGTAATGTCCGAACTGTTGAAACTGAGGAAGCTATACTGGAACATCTAGAACAGGACTGTGGTACAAGCACAAGACAGGTGTCCAGGCAACTGCAAGTTTCTCAGTCTTGTGTGGAATGTAGCTCATGAAAATCTTTTATACCCTTTTCACCATCAACCCGTGCAAGAATTGAATGACCCTGATTTACCTAACCACATGGATTTTTGTCAATGGTACATTAATATTTCCAGGCATGACTTAAATTTCCTAATGAATATACTTTTCACCGATGAAGCAAATTTTCCTAGAGTAGGTGCAGTAAACCTTTATAATGTTCATTCATGGTTGGAAGAAAATACTCATGAAATATTTGTTTCAAGATGTCAACATAATTTCAGTTTAAACGTTTAGATGGGAATTGTAGGAAATACTCTAGTAGGTCCTTTTATTCTTCCACACAGGCTTGGAGCGGCGGAGTATCTTAGATTTTTGAACGAAAATTTTCCAACATTGCTTGAGGATGTACCCCTCGCTACACGTCAGATGATGTGGGATACGCACGATAGGGCGCCTGCACATAGTACACTTGCCGTTAGAGAATGGTTAAATTTAAATTACCCGAATCGCTGGATTGCTCGTGATCGTGAAGCCCCTGTTTGTTGGCCTGCACGTTCACCTGACTTAACGCCTACGGATTTCTTTTTGTGGGGACACTTAAAAAGTATTGTTTATGCCACTCCTGTTGCCTCCTTAGAAGAACTATGCTTAAGAATATTTCAGGCAGCAGATGACCTTCGCAATAACCAAGAACTGTTTGTGCGAGTGCGTTATAACTTCAACAGACGTATTAGGTTATGCAGCAAAATTGAAATTATTTCGAGAATATTCTTTAAATTTTATTTCTGATAAATAACTTTACCTAATACATGTCCCATAATAAGTTATCAAACATTTTTCATTAATTAATAGCAAATTATTCTTAATGTTATTATTAAATTACCAGCTTATTGACAGAAAGTGTCAATTTATTAATATGATAAATAACAATTTATTTGTTATAACACCCGCCTACTTATTTCTACAATATTACTACTTTTGTGAACGATGACGTATCTAATTTTTTTACTAGAAAACTATTGGTTTTATCAAAAAATTATAAGAGGTAAATGCGCAATAAATCAGTCTTCCCAATAAATATTTTTAAATAAATGTGCTTAATATAAAAAATTTCTAATAAAATATTGCAATGGGGTTGACCGTTTCACTCCTTTATAAAATACGCCAATGATCGAACAAATATTGAAAAATTGTCTCTTTATTAGTAGGACGCTCATACCAATTTTCTGCCTCTAGCATTCATGTTAAAGAAAAAAATTAAAATGTGAATTTCAATCCCCTGCTTTAAGAGGGTAAGGTATTTTTACTTCAATCCTCTTATTTTTGGCTCTACATTCACTGGTACCATTTTTGCTATTTCATTTAAAAACACCCTATATAGTTTTTTAAAATAGGTTTCCAACTTGTGTCAGATAGAATGTTGAATTTCACCAAAAAGGCCTGTGAAGAGCAAGATATATCTGTATTTAATTCAATGTTGCAATCGTAAACCTTACATTGTAGATCCGTATTAACAATTTCTATTTTTACACCGTTAAAAACTGGCCGCGAGCATGTGGCAGAGCTGTTTAGTGCATCGTGGCTTTCATAGCTTGCACTTGCACGTTCGTAGACAGTAGTAGATGTGTCATTTTAGCCGCTATACACCGTCACGCCTCTCCCTCCGTAAAGCCGACCTCAAGGTCCCCCAGCAGTTCATTGAGAACGCCCTCACCAACTTCAGGTAAGAGGCCCCAGTCATTAATAGTAGTTCGTATCGTCACCCGCAAGAGGTTACTTTGTTACTTTTAACCTTCAACATCGTCTCGATATTTTTAATAAAACTGCTTTTTATTGATGTTATTAAAACCTTTTTCAACAGGGTATCGTTGAAAGTGGAGTTTTCCTTTTAACTGACTTTAAAAATAAATGTTGGTATAAAAATAAAATAAATCATTTTTTATAAGTATATTTAAAAGCATTAATTACATTTTTTAAAGCCAGCTACTTGCTTATTATGATTTATGAGTCTACAATAGGTTGTATACATCAGCCTCAACATTACACTGTTGATGTAATTTTTATTAAGTTGGCGAATCTGTGTTAGAATGTACCTAATTAAATGGAGATAGTGATAGTTATTTCAAAATGGCAAATGGCAATTGATGGTTTACGTATACTGTAGTTATCGGTACCCTTATTGGAGTCTTTATCGCATCTGACAGAATCATTGGTGTAGAAATACTTACATTTTTCAAAATATAATTTTCACTGTTTACAGTTTTATAGCCTGCTGATATAAATCCTGACCATTTTTACCTCTCTATCAAGACATGTGAACAACATGTACTTGTACAAAACTGAAAACGGATTTAAAGTTAAACCTGCGTTGGAATTTTGTGTTGAATCATTAAGAGTTTTTGAAAAACAAGTGAAAAATGTGTTTTTTATTGATTGCATTGCGATGTGACAAACTTAGATCATTTACAAGACTAAGACTAAACGACTTCTACAAATAAGTTAATATTCATTTACAATAATTGCTGAAACAAAAAATTTTTTTGGAGGTTCTGTATCTCAAGAATCAAGCCGTTGTGGACCTAGGTCCATGAACTGTTTATCTAAAAATTAATCAAAGATGCACCCTTTTAAATTTGTACAAGTACTTAATAAACAGCCTGTCAATTGTCAAAAAAAAACTGATTTTAATAACTTGTTCTGTCATGGATATGTTGAGCCAGCATCTGTTTACAAAAAAAAAACAGTAAGAATTTTGAACATTTCTTGTAGTTGTGCAGCAGTCTACCTCCAATTCCAATTTTTTGCATTTTTGGCCAGGTTCACACTTCTTCAACTTCTTATGTTCTCAAAAGATATTCCGTGTGGTATACTCTGGGTGCTCCCATATCCTCTGAGATTATACTTAATTTTTTATTTTACTTCGGATTAGCGCCTGGGTGACGCGGTGTGGCGGCTCGCCAGGTGACGCAAGTGACGCACAGGTATATTGAAAATGTATTGTGTTCGTTTGCCTTCGTTGAGCGCGAACATCAACCTCGTACCACATATACATATAGTATAAGCAAGTGACACAGATTGAAATCAGTCTGTATTCTGCTTCTGTTCGTAGCGTTGTTTACGGCGGTTGTCATGGCAACTAGGCCGCCAACACGGAAGTAAACTACGGCGTGGGGGAACGAGTGACGCGGAAATTGGAGCAGCATTGTCATCTCCCATCGCCTGCCTTTAAACAGTTTATACGATAAACGTCGCCCAGTGCACGATTATAACAGTTCTTTGTACAATAATTATTGTAGAAATGTTTCCTATGTGTGATCCAGTATACAGGGTGTTAAAAAAAGAGTGTAAAATATTTAAGGAGGTAAAGTATGAATTGAAATAAGCAGAAAAGTCTCAATAAACATGGGTCCGCAAAGTAACGGTTGCGGAGATATGGAATGTTTTATGTTTTTTAGCCTCTTTTTTTATTTTGCAAAAACGTTGTGTATTTTCTTATAATAGTTGGTTGATGTTTAGTGAAATAAACAGTACATATTTGATAGTTGTTCTCAGTGCACAAGTTTGCTTTCGCTATGGCTGGTTACTCGAACGCAGAAGTAACAGACATGCATTTCATGTATGGTCATGCTAATGGGAACGCCACCGAAGCGCAACGTCTTTATGTTGACGCTTATCCAAATTATCCAAATCGCCAGATTCCTTCAAAACGCATGTTTGGAAGAATTCACCAAAGATTGCGTGATACCGGTTCCTTGAGCAAACAGTGCCATTTATGCGGAAGACCAAGGTCGGTATCCACTCCTAGAGAGAAGAAGAAATTCTAGCACTGGTAGAGCAGAATCCAGGTACGAGTGTGCGGAGAATATCAGCCGAGGTAGGAATTAGTGGTCCTCTTGTTTGGAGAATCCTTCATGAGCAACTGCTTTATCCATACCATGTGCAACGAGTACAGGCCTTAAATCCAATAAATGATCATCAAGCACGTTTGATTTTTTGCCGCTGGTTTCTACGTCATGATGCTGAAGACCCTCGTTTTCTTGCAAACATTCTTTTTACTGATGAGGCCGGGTTCACAAGAAATGGAGTGTTTAATTTTCACAATTCGCATATTTGGGCCGACGAAAATCCTCATGCTCTAATAGAATCTGGAAATCAGGCACGTTTTTCATTAAACATTTGGATGGGTATTGTAGGTCACAGGTTTCTAGATCCTGTTGTTTTACCAAACCGATTAACAGGCGCTGCTTACCTCAACTTTCTGCAGAACACACTGTATGAGTTTTTGGAAGACATTCCTTTGAATCAGAGGCAACAAATGTGGTTCCAGCATGATGGTGCTCCAGCTCATTTTTCCATGGCCGTTAGAGAGCATTTACACCAAACTTTTCCACATAGATGGGTAGAAAGGGACCTGTTTTATGGCCTCCAAGATCGTCTGATCTAAACCCTCTAGATTTCTTTGTTTGGGGATGTTTAAAGACATTAGTGTATGGTACTCCTGTAAATAGCCTGAAAGAGCTGCAGCTACGGATTAATCAAAAGTGTCAAGAAATCCAAACCAAGGAGGGTGTTTTCGAAAGAGTTCGAATATCGTTGAGACGAAGATGTCGTGCCTGCTTGGAAATGGACGGAGGGCACTTTGAACATCTTCTGTAACTTTGTTTGTTAAAAGCTTCCTTTGTCGGTTTATTCCTAATAAAATAAAATGTTTGAAAAACAAATAGTGGTCCATATCTCCGCAACCGTTACTTTGCGGACCCATGTTTATTAAGACTTTTCTGCTTATTTTGGTTCATACTATTACCTCCTGAAATATTTTACACTCTTTTTTTAACACCCTGTATATTTTATTGAAACCGCCATTTTCCAGATGGAAAATTGAGTACAAAAGGGATTTTTTAAATTACGAGACACCTGTGCCTTATTCTCTCGGAATGAATGGTTTTCGGGGTGGAAGTGTTTATTTAAAATTAAAAATAACTTTTCTATATGTCGTGTTTAATTGTGGGTGTAAAGTGGGCCGTGTGGAATAAGGAGGGATTTAACAATTTTGGAACATTACGCGAAGCTGTCGTAACCACGAAGCCTCTTTGGAACATACATATATGGTGTGCGTTAATGTTCGCAGAAGTCACAAGCCAAACTAATATTTCTATTTTTTATAAAACCTAAATGAAAATTCTTCTCGTGAACGTCAGTTTTTCGGTAATATTACAAATGCAACAAAAAATTTCCAGATTCATTTAAGAATCTTGAAAATTTGAAAATTTTGGCCTGTGGCGATTTCTTTTTATTCAGTAAATGAATATGCTTCACCTATTGTGAATGCCACGAGCCGCCACTGGTGGTTAGTTAGACAAAAAGCACAATGAAAAATAATATATTTTTCTGGCTCTAAGGTAACGACAGAGCATTGCACACCTGAAATGTTGTCTCGGTCTCTATCGTATGCTGTCTCACTTCCCAATAATAATAAAGATATCCTAAGAGGAAAAACCCACTTTTGATGACACCCTGTATATCCTATATAGCATAATCTGCTAGATCATATTGTCTTTGCAATACTACTTTGTCAAACTTGTTGAATTTCAATAGAGGGTACTGTAATTGTTTATTTTGTTACCATAACAATCTCAAAAACACGAATATTAAATCAAAAATGTTAATATGTATTAGATATCTGATTTTGATCCTTCTACAGTTATTTTTGTCCATTACTTTGTAACTAAAATTAGTTGCATACAGAGTGGTTTTATCCAAATATTTTTAAATTCTATGCTAACAAAGATTCTATCTAACTTTTTGCATATCATTACATTTTTAAGAAAACTGTTAACGCATTAGTAAAGCTATTTCACTTTCACCATGATAAACAGTACCTTATTATAAGGTTTCTAATTTATAAATAATACACGAACACAATAAACCTCAGGAGATGTTTAACATTTGTTGTAATTTCTAACAATAAGAAATATTAATATCTAAACAAATGCGGTAACTTTTCAAAAGTGCTGTAATGTGCCGCCATAGGTGGGAACTCAGTGAAACAGGACAACTCAACAGACTAGCAGTCAAATTAATTATTTAAACAACTGACACAGATCAACAGTCTAGACTAGAAGTTGTAAAAACAACTAAAATGTGTCAAAGAATTTATTTCATCTTCAGCTAAGTTAATAAATTTTTTATTGTCTTTTAAATAATTATAATAATAATTATTCATTCTAAGGCATTGTCCTTGAGAACAAAGCATTGTTTTGGATACTTTATTGAAAGAAGTAAACAAATTTTGAGACAAATATAACAAATTCTAAGCTTACGCCTGTGTCCCTCACATCCCGACTATCCCTTTCTCAACTCGAATGTTGTATATGTTTTTATTTCTTCTAGTCCAAGTAGCTTAACTAGTAAAAAATCCAACGAACTAATACAAGGTGGTCTCAGCTCGATCAAGTCTGCGGCCACCTCCATGGTTAAGAAAATGGAGGAGATCAAGGAAGCCATCTCGACGTCCTCGAATTCCACGCCCGTAAAGGTGCTCACAGGTGACAGATTGGCGACAGGGGATGCCCAGGAAGAGTGCGACTCGAACGATGGGAGCGAAGGTGGTGAACGTCACAGGAGGGTATCCACCGAGACTGGAAGTTACAGGGGTAGCTGCACGAATTTGAAGGATTACGATGAGCCATTGCCTGAAAGTCTGTTTCCGACACCGAGGGAGGAGAAACACGGTAAGTAATGCCATTATTATTGCTAAGTAATCACTGTTGTAAAATTTAGATAGTCAAACATCATAAATGGTATTTGTCAAAGCGAGTAATAGATGGTGCTTAAAAATAATCTTTATTAGAGTCACTGACTTGCAGTGACTCTAATCTTTATTAATGTCTCTATATTGATAAAATACCTCAACAACTCACCATTTTGTGGCAAAACCCTAATGCCAACTTTGATATATTTTTTGTTGTTTTTCTGTAACTTGCATTCTATCTATCGCACATAAGTTTATTATACAATAATCTAACATTTTAATCTAAAATGTAATTTTGATAGTCTTTTGATATAAAATAGGAGGTAAATTTGAAAAAATATATGTAATAGTTATATTCAGTAGAATATTTAAAACTGTCAAACAAAAAGTTGTAATTGTCAATCCCCATTTTGGGGCAAAATACGGACAACGGTTGCAATAGTTGGTCAATCTGAACACTTCAATATGTGTTAAAGTACCACAATCAAAGGACATTTTGGGGAAAATCCCCAATCCTTAAAATTAACAGCAAGAACCAAAGTGAACATCAGAATGGGCCTAAGGATTCTGATAACAGGTCCACCCGCGCAGAGTCTAGCCCGACAACAACAAAGACAAATCAAAGATTCTTAGCTAAAACTAAGGAAGTGCAATATAAATCTAGAACTGGTGGTGATCAGTTACATAGGTCACAGCATAAAAACCCGAAAAACCATCGTAGTTTAAATATCAGCTCTGCCATGAAAGTCTTAAACTACTATTACTTTTTTAAAAGTTTGGAACTAAAAGTAGGCAATGAAAAATGAATTGCTCCTACTTATTATAGCCAATAACAGATGGCACTTACATATTTAATCATTACATTGAAATTTAAACCCACTAGAACTAGCTCGGATGCCTGTTTCATAAACTAAGAGAAATTAACATCAGAAACAATTTTCACTTAAATGGAAGTGTACTTAAAACATTAACTGTGAAACTGCAAAATAATAAATTTCTTCAACTGAAAGTTCTATTTCTTTTGAGTGTATTGAAAGAAAAAGGGACAGACCCTATCCAAAAAAAAGGTTTTCGTGCATCGTTCTACAACAATATGTATAAAAACAGCACACCCACCAAGCTGAAACTTTTTACTGGATCATAATGAGAATTTTGAAATATGTTTATATATTTTTTTTCTGGAATAAAACTTATTGGTTATTTTTTATATTTGTAAGTCTTTTGTGTATTTGAACTATTTCTCAACTGTTATTAATAATTATGATTGATTCATAATTTCAAAGACAGAGTTATGTAACATTAAATTTTAGAACTTAAAGTAAGTAGTGAGCAGTAGATGATGTGTTGTATTTGTCAAAGTGAATAATACATGGGTGGCACATACATATTTGATTGTAATGAGAATTTTGAAATACTTATTTTTATTCTAGTTTTTCTTTTGGTTTATATACAAAGATAATTCTTATTGTATTTTCTGTGTTTATAACAATTAACAATTATCATGGTTTAATAACGATTTCAGAGACCGAGTTAGATATAACCCTAATCACATGCTCTCAGTGCCACAACTGCTCCTCCCTACTATACGACGAAGACATCATGGCCAACTGGTCTGCCGAGGATTCCAACCTGAACACCCTGTGCCAGTCATGCAACAAACCGACTGTGCCTCTCCTAACTGTCTTGATAGGCGGCAAGAGCATCAAACTGTGCGATCCTTTCAGCGTCCCATACCTAAACCCGCTCGTCCTAAGAAAAGAACTGGAGAACATTCTCGCTCAGGAAGGGGATCTGTGCCTCTCGGATGCCAAGTTTGTTGATGACCATCCCATTATCTACTGGAACTTGATTTGGGCCTTCGAAAGAATCAACACTCAGACTCACCTGCCTAATTTGTACCTAAAGAAGAGGACGGATACCGAAAACACCATGAATGGTAGCAAGAAGAGTGAAGAAAGCGAAACGATGAGTTTAGCCGGTGACAACAATTTAGGTTTGATGAAACCAGTGGAAGAGGGAACGGATCCGCTAACACAGGAGTTAGCAGCCTTAGGTGAGTTGTAAATTATTAATTTTTATAATTAGCAGTGTGACTTTTTTTTGACAAAAAAATAAACATTAATTTAAAAAGTGTTAATATATGAAAGTATAAATAAATACATGTTCAGAATTTAAGATTTAGTTACAATAAAAATTATAGAACATTGATTTAATTTTTTATGTACTGGGTGAGTCAATGAAACGGGATGATTTAGGAACGCCACTGCAGATAAAGTAGATGGGAGGGGGGCTTGGGTCGTCAACGTTGTGAATCTAGAGATCGGGAAGTTAGTTATCATGGATACTTGGTCGGGTCAACAACGCGCATTTGCTGTCAAAGCGTATTACCAAAATGGGGAGAGTTACGTCCGTGTGAGACGAGCGTTTCGTTTACATTACCGTTTGCCGCCTCACGCTCGTGTACCATCTAACAGCGCTATTCAAACGTGGGTAAGTAACTTTGAAAGCAGTGGTTCAACAACAAAAAAAAGAGGTGGAAGTGCTAGAACTGTGCGCACGCCAGAGAATATTCAAGCGGTTCGTAATTCATTGGAAGAGAGTCCACGAAGATCCGTTCTACGACGAAACTTAAATCTCGAACTAACCTACAGCACCACAAGAAGAATTTTGCATAAAGACCTTCACCGCCATCCATATAAAATTCAGATTGTGCTATCTCTCAACGTTCGAGATTACGCTACTCGTTTAAGGTTTTGTGAACAAACGTTAGAGCATATCAATGAAAACGATAACGTACTGCATAATCTTTGGATGAGCGATGAAGCCCACTTTCATCTTACTGGCTTTGTCAACAAACAAAATTTTCGGTATTGGTCAGACAATAACCCTCAAGAATTACACGAAAGACCCCTACATTCAGAGAAAGTAACCGTGTGGTGTGCGGTTTCTTCGTTAGGGATAATCGGCCCTTATTTGTTTGAGAACCAAGCTGGGAACGTTGTAACAGTGAACTCTGATCGTTACGTCAATATGTTGAACAATTTTTTTCTTCCTGCAATCGAGAACTACAGAAATGAAAGGATTTTCCAACAAGATGGTGCAACATGCCATACAGCACGAGTGTCAATGGGTTTACTAAGACAGGTCTTTCCCGGTCCTCTTATGAGCAAGAACGGCGATATTCCCTGGCCACCTAGCTCTCCGGACTTATCGGCATGCGACTAAAAACAAAAGTGTTTCAAAGTAACCCCCCCAAGGACTATCCAGGCATTAAAAGAAAGGATTAGACTTGAAATAGCCGCAATACCGCTAGAAATGCTGCGCAATGTTATGGAGAACTTTGCAACGAGGCTGCAAGAATGTGTGCGAAACAATGGAGGCCACCTTTCGGACATTATTTTTAAAAAATGAACGATTGTGCACTTACATAATACTTCCATTCCTGTAGATCATGTTTTCATCAATAAACTTTACAAAAAATGGTTCTTTTAATGTTTTCTGAGTTTTTTAAATCATCCCGTTTCATTGACTCACCTGTTACTTGTTTATGATGTATTTAGACTTTTTTGGCATAAATATTTGATAATGACTTTTTGTTCAAAAGCGAGTCCAAAGGAAGAAAGTAAGTATAGATGTTTTTAATTGGAAAATGTATTCACTGTAAATTCCAAGTAACTTTTTAAAAAGAGGATTTTTGTTGAAATAAATTTGGAACGTTTCACGTCAAGTCGATCAAGGCTCTCGCCAAAATTTGGAGACACTTAATAAATGGTTTTGGGCGTAAAAAAATTAGTTCTTCCAAGTATTTTTAGATGTTATGTGGCAGAATTCGAAAATCCAATATGGCGCCTAGAAGTGTAAAAAAATCAGGATTCATCCAATAAACTCCCTCCAGTGAACTTATTACTGGTAAATCCATCTCCAAATGACCATAATGGAGAGTTTCGAGATCGCTGTTCATAAATATTAAGTTATTTTCAGACGATTCAAGATGGCAGTTTTTATATATAACTGCTTAGCAAGCCATGATCCCTAAAACTTTTATATTATAAGGGTTATAAGGGTATAAGGTATTATTATTATAAGGTTCAATAGTCGATTTCACAGACAAGACAAGTCAGACTAGTCATTTATTATACTGTCAAAGTCGCTGATAAATTGAAGTCGGTTCGATAGTATTGTATCACTTTCCAATCCTAACCTCAAAAAAAAAAAAAAAAATTGAAAATTGAGGCTAGTCGATTCTAATGTTTTTAAAGTCGCTGAATCATAATTTTCAGTCGATTCGATAGTACAATGTCATGTTATTATGTTATTTCTTTTTTAAATACTCTCAAGATAAAATTCATAGTATGAATGAAAATTCGCAATTTTTAAATTTTATTGATCCACGGATCAGGACGCGATATGATATTATTGAAACGACTTTAGATTACGATTTGGCAACCCCGAAAACATGAGAAACAACGTCTTTTAGGATTGATCGCGGTATTAAAAATCTTGATTTTTCATTTTTTTTAAGGTTAATAGAATAGAACTAAGTTTTTATTTTCAAACAAATCAAAAAAGAAATAACATAATATGATATTGTACTATCGAATCAATTTAAAATTACGATTCAGCGACTTCAAAGACAGGAATCGACTAGCCTCATGATTTTTCAATTTTTTATTTTTTTTTGAGGTTAGGATTGTGATATGATACTATCGAACTGACTTCAATTTATGATTCAGCTACATCAAAAACATAAGAAATGACTAGTCTGATTTACCTTGTTTGTGAAATCAACCATTGAACTTTGTTTGAATAAAAGTTTTGTGGTTCATGGTTTGCTAAGCACTTATATAAAAACTGCCATCTTGAATCATCTGAATATAACTTAAAATTTATGAACAGCGATCTCGAAGGGAGTTTATTGGATTTTTGAATTCTGCCACATAACATCTTAAAAGTACATGGAAGAACACATTTTTGTACGTCCAAAACCATTTATTAAGTGTCTCCATGTGAAACGTCCCATAATGTATTTGGAGTTTATTATTTTTTTTTTTGTCTAATTGCGAACTTTAACAGGATACTTAAAGTTAGAAGCGATAGCATTGCTGTCTCAAAAACCATTAAATATAAACGATTAATTTAATATTTTTTGTTTAATTTTTGTTGTTTTTTGGATTTATTGTTCCTCTATTCGAATATTGAATCAAATTTTTGCAACGTTTTGAATTTCAGGAATTAATTAATTTGGTTAAATACGAATCTCATATTTTTAAAGAATTTTCAACCTTTAGCTGTCAATATTTTATTTTTGTATTCAAGTAAAATATAGCAATTTAAAAGAATAGTGCAATAGTAGATATGCTAAAAACATATTTTCTGTGCAAAGGAAGTGCACATGTGGCAATATGCAGATTAGAACGTGGTTAAAAGAAATATTCCAAATGAACATAAACATGGAGAATATGATAAAACCCCCAAGGTTAACATATTTAGTGTATAATTGAATATTTGAAGGAAATGTTACTAATTCAACATCTATATGTAAAAGATTTTAAGGAAATATGGCAAAACTTGTACACATTCGGCTTTTGATATCTCGAATGAGCATTTTTTGAAAAATGTTCATATAAAAGCATTTTCTTTATTTTCAAATGTTCACCAGGGCTGGCATTGGTAACGAAAGTTATCTAAATCCCATCATCAATATTAATGATTCGTTTATATGAGCAATGACAAACCATTACTTCTAAGCTCGAGATAATGTGATCACTGATTGTTTGAATAGAATCTCTTGAAAAATTACACCAATCTCAACCGATGAAACAGAATATTGTGTTTTAATGTAATCTTGATCTTATTGTTTTAATTGTACAGAAATTTAATTGCCATAAAGGAAATCAAATTACAGTTTCAAACAAAATGACACATGACTTGTAGTCATTTATGAAGGCATGAATATCATATGTATTTTGTGTTTCTCTTGGGAAGTGATTACCTATTAAATTACTCGACTTTACCCAAATTTAACAATACCTCTGATGATTTTCGAGATAGCAATTATATTCCATTTCTTTTAAAACGCCCTGTATCTTAATGTTATTCCAATTAATAAAAACATAAATGTGTTTATTTCACATTGTTGTTATTTGTTAATTTAGAACAAATGGCTGCTCAAGTCAGCCTGAGATGTTTGTGGGATGATCCGCATCTTCATTCAGAAAGTGCCCCAATGTATGTTCTGTGGCAGCTTAGGGATACATCACAGAAAATTGCTGGAAACAAAAATGCCATAACAAAATCGTAAGTATCTAGTAATCACCTCCAATATAAAAAAAAAGTTGCATTTCTTGGATGAGAACTTTTATACTAGTATAGAAACCATAGAAATACTAGTTTTGACCAAAGTGTGTATAATGTTTCCGTCAACCTTAATAATTTGGCTCCGTTTCCTTAATTATTATCTTTAATTTTTAAAGTGTTTCTTTACATCTAATAATATGGACTCAATCACTTCTCGGCCGCTGTTGATTATATCCGATTATAATGAATGTGAACAACAGTCAAAACTCCTTATTCGCGGTTCCCATATTCGCGGATTCGCTATACGCGGATCAAGAAATTGTGACCACTTCCCGTTACTGTTGTGAAGCCAAAAGTCCTTTGACAAAAGTCGCCACTGACGCCGCTCGCTTACACGTGCCACTATGGCCTTTGATAAATGTGACATTAAACTTAAAATACCTGAGTGAAGGTTTACTGATGGCAAATGAGCTTTGTGATTTCTTCATAAAAATTAAAAAAAGAAATAAATTTTGTTTTTAAGAAGCAAATTGATAGTGACACAGCTAAATATCAATCCAAATTAAAAGACTGCAAAACAAGAAAAAATCATTAGTTCTTTAAACCATTGCCTAAACCTGATAATAATTAAGTTAAAATTTATCTCAATAAATTACTTTTATTATATTTTTTTTATTTTGCAACATTGGAACCCCTATATTTCCATATAAAATGCTACTTCGTTCTCTGCGGTACATTTTCGGAACATATCACCCGCGAATAAGGAGCTTTGACTGTAATTGAATTCGTATTTGTAGCAAAACAAAATTATAACTAAAAAGATACAGGTTTTGATCAAAGTGCATATAGAATGCAACATTACTTCACAACCATGACATGACTCGTCCAATTATAATAAATGTGAAGCAATTGAATCCATATTGATAATAATTTGGCTCTGCTTTGTTAATCAATATCTGTCATGCTCGATGACTTGACTACCACTGCTGTCCAATTATAGTGAATGTGAACTAGTTAAGTCCAAATTTGACATCTAAAAAGTGACAAGACTTGGACAAGGTGCAAATGAAAGTTTATCATTGACCTTAATAGTTTGGCTCCATTACATTAATTAATAGCCTTCATTTGACGTTACTTTTTAGAGGTCATATTTTATGGCCTCATATACTTCACTGATTCATTCTATCAGATTATAGTGAAAGTGAAGTAATTGAGTCTGTATTTGCATGTGGAAGTTTGTGGCTCCGCTTCGTTAATCAATATCTTTGATTTGGTATAACTTTTTAAATATCATATTATTTTACACCCGCAAATACTTCATGGACTTAATTACTTTACAACCACTAATTTTTCTGCCCGATTATCGTGAATATGAGGTAATTTAGTTGATGAAGTATTTGTGGACATAAAATAATACGTCTGAACTTTACTTCATCCTGAAATGAGTTCGTAAAACTGTATTTTATGGTGAATTCCATCATTTTTAACATTTGATTATTCATTTCACTAACAGGTTTATGCAACAAATCATAAACTACATCCGCGTCAACGACCTGGTCGAACCAGTCAAAATACTGTCTGAGGAACGGCAGTCTGCAAGCAACGCGTCCAATTCCATATACCGGGACATCTTGTTCCTTGCCTGTAAGGCCCTAGGGAGAGCCCAGATAGACATCAACACCTTCGACAAGGAATACACGAACGCCTACTCCCGAGTCGCGGAGAGGCAGAACAAGCTCGGTCCTCAAGACAAGCCCATCAACTTGAGTTCCCTCTACTGCAGACAGTATTTCCGGCCATTAATATTACCCTAAGTCTTGGTTTGTGAAATTCTTCGGATTAGTTATGGACTTTCCACTGTTTTCCCCGACTTTGTTATGAATCGGTTGGTGCACTGCTTCGTTATTTGTACATTAATTTATGATAGCAATTTTCATTTACTGTATACATTATTATTTACATATGTATATTGGTAGTGTAAAATAAATCTGTTAATTCTTCAGTCGTCTTTTATTACATTTCTGAGTTTGTGAAAGTGTGAATAAATCTGATCAAAATAGAAAATGCTGTAAACAGACCCTTAAAAAAAGGAGAAAGAAAGAAGTTATAATGAAAACTAGAAATAGTGGGTGGTGCTGGAACAGTCAACATGTCAGAAATAAAGATGAACAACAAGCATTTTGCATTTTTGTGTTGATTGTAAATGTTTTATATGTGTACAATTCATTAAAAAAAAATTAATTTCTAGGTGAACATCTTTTAAAAAAGGACGTTTCAGGTTATTTGGACTAATCTAAAATTTTATTTGAAATCAGGTGGTCAAAATAGGAAAAAATGTTATATGATGGACGTTTCGTTTCCGAAGTACCTAATGTTGAAATGTGAAAAAGAAATCACATTTAATATTTTTCTAGACTCCAAAAAATTTAAATATTGTAAACGGCTGAAAAATTAGATCGAGTTACACTAAAATCCCTAGATATTTATAAGCTACACATTAGAAATCAGAAAATCAGAAATTTTTTAGGGATTTTTTATAGGCTTTTTCTCAGTGAAAAATGGTCGCATCGAGATAAAAAAAAAACTACAAATTTATAATTTCAAGATCTTTTGACAAAAAAATTTTGTGAGCTCCGGTTATTGCACTCACATAGGAATAAGCACGAGAAAAAAAATTACAATTTTTTTTATTTTTTAAGGTCCACGGATTCAGGAAAATTTTTTTCACTTAGACCAATGCATAGACCAATTAACCTGATTATTCAGCTTTAGTTTGCTTTTTTTTGTCTGCATGTCAATTTTTTATTAAGTTGTGTGGCTCCGAATGAAAAAGGGTCTTTAACTCCTTATGGATTTCAGGTCCCAGTGGATTTGTCTGGGTTTTTATATTTTGTACTTGATATCATCATCAAAAGTGTCGATGGGCACAAAGTCCAAAAATGGACAGATAACATAATAGATATTTTAGAGTAATATTTTTATGTATATTTAAAGAATATCTAATGTAAAATTGCGGAAAAAGTTGAGAAAAAATCTTTCATTTTGATAATGATTATATAATGATCAGGAGCAATAAACATGTTCTTTTATTTCTAAAATTTTGATCATTTAGAACAAAAAAATGACTTGATAGGTCAATTGATGGATTATTGTGGTTACATTGAGCTGTAAAAATTTCTCTTAACATTAGTTTTTTCATCAATATTTATAAATAAGCTGTAAATTTTCTAAAAAACCGTAAAAAAAATATTACGTAACTGGTGAGATGGGATCTATTGGACCCGGACCAGATTTTGTATTTAACTCGGTGTTATTTGATGATACAGCTGTGACGGTTTGTGGTGCACAACCCCTGTGCACTGACTGACTGAACTTTAATAAGCAGCTACTAAACAGGCCATCAGCTATTTACAGGAGAATGTAGTGTTGCCAAACGTTGAAAATAGCACTTGGGTCGATGGGACCCCACTTCACCAGTTAAGGGTTAATTATTCGGATGTATAGGAATATATGGAATTTTTATTAGGGATGTAATTTCTCTTTGTTGTCTAACAGAATTTGTCTTACTTTCAATATTCCTAGACCTTTTCAAAAAAATTCTCAAGGTATTGATTATTTATTAACACATTTTTTATTAATTTCAAAATACATAGTAAAAATACTTACAAGTTACAACTCAAAATTATTTTTCTCATAGCATGTGCTTAAAAAAAGCGTATAGAATGTTTAAACAATTTTACCATATCTAGTGTAAAAAGAGGGGTTATGTCAATAATGCCAAAATGTGAGAATCACCTTATAACTCAAAAACAATAAATGATACCACCCAATACGTATTTCACCACCTACCCCCAGAATTACGAAACCCTAAAAAACATCAAAGTACTACAGCCAGGTCAACTTTGTGAAGTTGAAGGGTGTGATCCATATCAATATATATGTTTGACATTCGTATTGAGTAATAACAAGTACTTTGTGATATTTATGCACTTTAAACAACAAACATTCAATTATTATTTTCCAACCACTACTTGATCCTTCCACCGCTAATGTGATTTTTAGGTGGTATTTGTTTTGAGACTCTAGGACACTATTGCTTATAATTTTAATACGGGAAGTAGGTAATATAGAAAAATTTTTCTAATAAAAGTTTATTAGAAAAAAGAGAGCTTTTTAACAGGAAAAAAATTTGGGTATGTTTCTGTAAGAAATATAATTGATGACGTCATTAGTGGTTTCTGTCAAATCCCATTTAACACCATCATTCCATTTAACACCACGTGTCCCAAATTTTATTTTAATTTTTTGAATTCGCATAGTAGGTCCATACTATCGAGTTTGAGACACCGTGTACAATTAATTAAATTATTATTAAAAAAGTCATTTGCCTTTGAAGACCATCTGTTGATTTGCCACCCCTACACACAAATTCACCTCGACATTAAAATCACTCCAATTCAGTCATTCCTGTAGCCAGCGGGAAACTCCTAAAAAACTGACTTTCACTTGAAGTTAAGTTCAAAATTTAACTTATCCTAAGTTTACCGCACGTTTTTAAAAGAATTGGGGTTACGAAGGCCAAAGAAACAAAATTTAAATATTTAACATTTTATTAATAAGAGAGGTTTAGTAAGATATTACCTAATAACTAGTAATTGCTACATATATTTTTTCTTTTCTTGTATATATGAAGGCAGATATATCTATATTAGTAGAACATTAAGAAAAATCTCATATAGAAAATGGAGAATAAAATTTTGTAATTCCGAGACATTAATCACACCTCTCGGATGTAATATTCTCATTGCTTAAACTTTATTAAATTTTGATATATACATTTGTTAAAGAGGATTGAGACCGAAATTCTGGGAGAATAATAATTCTTCCAAGACAAACTTCAATAAATTGTGCACAGAAATTGATATGCTCTGCCCAAGATATTAACACATTGCACTGCCACTGACAGAAAAATGTAAATTGGCCAATTGTGCGTTTTTAAAATACTGTAACCGACAAAACTGACAGCATTAAATTGCTAAAAAAAATTAAAATTCCTGTAAATTCTTACTTCAAATAGATGTAGCGAAATCAAATGACGATGCAGAACGATGATACTTTCTTTTGTTATGTATGAGTAGTGCCAATTTCAATAAAATGGCGCATATTTTTATATAATTTTTTGATATCTACAATTGAAATCAATTAAATTACACATTTTTTTTTATTTGATATAAAAAGGCATTTTTTGTTTTAATAAAAATTTTGGATATAATCAAAATCTGCAACTCAATTTTTTTCTGTTTGATAAAATTTGTTTTATATCATGCCTTTTGATAAGCTGTTGGCCTGGTCTGGAGAAGACAATCAAAGGCGCAATGTGTCAACAATATTGATATGTAGCGTTCAGAGAACGGAAAATACGAGTATGCGCAAGATATCGCCCAGCGAAGAATACCTGCCCCTTTTGCTAACATAAAATTGTTATATGAGTATTTTACACAGCACGTTATATCGCCAGAAATTCAATAAAACCCTTGAGCAGGTCCTAATACTGAAATGCTATCGTAATAATCTCTCGGTTCGTACACTTAAGATCTAAGCTATGAGGATTCTGTTAAATATACTTGCATTTTAAGTACATGAGAGGAACACAATTATTGGATATACCGATACACCAACAGCTATGAGATTTAAATGGATCATTAAGTCTAAAGTAAACATTAGTCATCCATTCATTGGTAATCTAAGGCTGGAGAAAGGTTAATCATAGTAATTGGGTATTATTAGAGGAAATTAAGTTATCATTTTGTCGTATTAAAACCTGAAACAGATAATATTTAGTGGGGAATTAAGGATTTATAAAAAATATTGCAATTTTCCCATTTGAGGGGAATTTTAAATACTCCTTTGAACGTGTTTCAAGGTGTATACCAATTTTTGAACAAAAAAAGTTCCCTGGCATTTTCAAGTTTTCAGGTAGATTTTAAAAAATTCCCAGATTGACAAAATGTAAGTTCTATCAATTTACGCTTTTGGGTAATCAACATTTCCCAAATTTGTCAATATACAAGGTGTCCATTTAAAAAATTAAGGTTGACCTTGATAATTGACTTCAAGGTCACCATAATTTGACCCCTCGAAACCTGATAACTTTTGTTTGAAATATTTATAAGTCAAATTAAAAGAATTATGCAGCCTGGTACATTACAATGGGACACCCTGTATAACATATAACATTAAAGAATATAAATATTTCGAAAATTATACAGTAGCTCCCAAAAAATTTGAACATGAAGTTTTATTTTTTCTAATAATTTTTGCTTGCCTGAATCTGAGCACGCTTAACTTTTAGGAGAAAATAGTTATTTTAATATCAATAAATTTTTGTATTTTTTCAATATTTTAATTACTGTGCTTTTATTTATAAGTTGGTTTCTTTAGATGTAAGGGACAATCTTTTGATTTAGAATAAAATAACATTTTAATTAGCCAGCATTTAAAAAATATCGTGTGAAAAATATGTGGATTTTTTCTGAATTATATAATTTATTTCTATTATCTAATTAAAAAAAAGTGAGAACGTTAAAAATTAAAGCATATTTGAAACTATAAGCAAATTGACATTTCTACTTTTTAATATTCATTTCGATGCAACAATTTAGGCCAATCCAGTGGTGACATCTTATAAACAGATTTATTGCAAGTGAAACTTAAATAAAATTCCATGTATGAGAAAAATCCCCTAACATTTGTAGAATTAAAAAATTTTCCATGTAAGCTCTAAATCAATTTGCTCTTTTAATTTCCCAACGTTTTTTCCGGTGTTTAAGATATAAATATTTAACAAAGTACAATTATTTAAAAAATTGTATTGTGACCTAAAAAAATTAGCACGGATGGATTTTTTTTCTTCCAATATATTTTTCTTATTTAAATATCAAATAACCTTTTTTTTTTTGGAGAAAATTGCATTATTTTTTATTTACATTTACATAACGAAACCTAAATCAATATTAAAAAAATATAGTCAGTTTGCTTTTTCAATTTTTTTTTATTTTAGTGCTTTTATTTTTAACTAATGTTCTTTAAATATAAGGGATGATTTTTGGTTTAGAAAAAAATGGATTGTTTTAATCAACCAAAATTTAAAAAATAGTTTCAAAAAATATATGGAAGTTTTTAAGAAGTTGAAATATTATTCCCTTCAGCAAAAATGTATAATTCTAGATAGTCTTAAAACAGGTACTCATTTAAGGGAAGTACCTAGGAAATTTAATATTCCAAAATCAATTCTGTGTGATATTAAAAGAAACAAAGCCCAGTCAGTTCATGGATTCGACAAAGGAGAGTAATGAAAAAGTGAAAATCCTGAAATAGAACAAACACTATATATATATATATGGTTTCTAAAACAACGTAGCAAACACGTTCCTACATCATCCGATATTTTGCGCACCAAAGCAAAATGTTTTTACGAACAATTAACAGGTAATAATGATTTCCTCGCTAGTTCAGGATGGCCGGACAAATTTAAAAGAAGGCATGGGAATCGTTTCTTAAAAGTATGCAGAGAACGAGTTTCTAGTGAAATGAAATTAGCAGAGATCAAGTTTATAACGCCGATGAGTCAGCTGCATACTTGCGAGTTTTGCCCGATCAAACATGGGTACATGCAGAAGAAAAATCTGCTCCTGGGCGAGAAATGTCCAAGGACCCATAAACTTCCACTGTTGGTAATTGGAAAAGTAAAAAACCCAAGGTCTTTTTAAAATGTTAAGCTACCAGAGTATATAGAGGAAGGATGACAAAAAGATTATTTCTAAAATCATTTAAAAGCCAGTAATAACAGTAATTTACCGATTAGAGCATTAATATTGCTGGACAACGCTATATCACACATGTCGGAACAGGAAATAAATTTTGATTCAAATTTTAAAGTTTTGCTCCTGCCAACGAACTACACAGCACTGATCCAACCAATGGATCAAAATTTAATTCAAAACATTAAGGTGTCGTATAGGAAAAGTTTAAGCAAAAAAAAAATATTATGAAAAGCTAATTGGCACTTTGGAAAGAAGCAACATTGGAATGGAAAGATGAAGATCTCATTCCATTTAGTGAACTCCAAAAGCAGCAATGTACTGATGGCAGGTGTTCAGACATGGAAATTATAAAAGAATCTCTGAAAGCTATTGATGGGAATTTGAGCGATGAACAAATAAGCACATGGGCATTAGGCTTGGATGGAAACGTCAAGGAACTTACAAGACAAGAAATTCTTAAGGAGGTACAGATGAAAAATCAAAATGAATGCACTAACGGAGATAATGAAGAAAATATTGCTGAAGCTGAATGCACTTCAAAGATTAAACACGGGGATGCTGTAAAAGCCTTTTCTATACGTGTCCAGTGGACAGAAGAGAATGATATGCAGTTACATGACCTATTGCTTCAAAAATTAAGAGACAGTTCATGAAAAGCATAAAAAATATATAAATCCGTTAAAAATAACTTCTTTTTAGAAAAAATAAATGTATGTTTCGTGTATTGTCATGTCTAAAAGCTGCTTACAACATATGTATGCATTTTATTTTGTACATACATATTTTAATACTTTTTTTACTTATATACTTTTATTATGAAATAATAAGAGATTCCACATTGTTTTCTGTTTATATTCATTTAAAACATTTGTAATAAATACATTTGCACTGTAAATCCATAGTTTTTATTACTATTCAAAAACACCTCTACAATTCGGACAATTCAACAATCCGGGTGGGATAAAAACTATATCTGTCCGGACTATCAAAATTATACTGTACCTACTTTATTTTTATTGTAATGATTTTGTTTTTATTTTCGATTCTTTACATATAAGGCATAATTGTTTTATTTACAATAAAATAACATTTGAATCATTTAAAATTCAAAAAATATTTTCGAATATGTTGAATTTTTGATTAAACTCTAATATCATTCATTTGATGATTTTATTGATTACATTGTTTTTGTAACTTATAAATGGAACATATTTTATCTTTCATATACATATGTTTCATTATATACAAATAAATCTAAATAATTTTGCTCCAAAACTGTACAAAATCGGTAATGGTGAAAAACATCAACTTTATTTCTATTTTTGTAATTAAAAAAGTTATTGTAAAAACTCCAAGCTAAAATTAAAACACCAAAATTGAAAATATGAAAAAATGTCATTTCTCCTTTTTTAATATTCATTGTAATAAATAATAACCGATTGCAACTGGGACATAAAAAAAAATCCATGGAAACTAGACAAATTCTTAGTTTCAAAGATTGATATACACCCTAGCATTCCAACGGTTTTATTGAATCACTGAAAATAACCGCTTTAGATACTATTCGACAACATCGTAATGGAAGGAAAAGAAAAAATAAGTTTCATTGAACTACTTACCTAAGCGGCTACAACTAATGTTCATTTTAGATCGCCTAACTTGACACGAGGACAAATTTAGATAAAAAGAAAAAGTCAGCCCGATCCAACCCTCTTTAACAATTACAAAAAAATAATGCATAAAAACGACATCACAACAGTGTGCGTAAAGAAAGTATACAATATATCGAAGAAGCAACATTTTGCCATTAACTTTTACAGCAATTATAATATCTATGAGATGGCTTTGAATTTTTTTACTGCAACTTTTGAGTAATTGATTAGAACAATAATATACTATTGTGTGGAAAGCTAGACGATGATAGGAGAATTGTTTTCCATAGTAAGCTTCTTCCCGGTTGATCACTCTGCACTTTGAAATTGAATATACATGATACACTCACACCAACTGTCAGTTTTTAAATGTGTAATTTGACAACGGTTAGATAGCGTGCGTTGCCATTCAGATTATCACTTGATCCGAAGAGAGATCGATAGTAACGTGTCCTTTGCTCTATAGGATTGAGCACCGCAACTTGAAGGGTACGCGACCGTGCGCCCCGATGTACTTATGGGACCGTTTACCTCTACTGGATTTGTCCTTGCGGATCTCTCGGACTAACGTGTAGAACGCATCGTCCACTCCCATCCGCGTTTTTGCTGATGTCTCCACGAAGGGAATACCATACTGTTTTGCAATCTAAAAAAGAAATCATGTTCAACGATTTATCAAATTTAGCTAGATGGCTAATACATATACAGGGTGTCCGTGAAATGCATGTCTTAGATTCTTAAAATTCTGCAAAAATTTAATCAGTTACAAACCGGAAAAGCTTGGAACAATTAAAATGAAATTTGGTATGTGAAAATATATTGGTAAAAGGCTTTTCCTGAAGCTATTAATGTTAATTATTGACTTGCACAAATGGCTTATACTGGATACCTAAATTAAAAAAGTATTCTTTTTTTGTCCATTATCTAATTGTCACATTTTTTTCTGGTAAAAGCTAAAACTTTTTAAATAAATTCTGTCGCCACTGGTAATAAAAAGCACTAATGGAATTTGGAGAATGTTCATTGCTGTTGAAGTTCTGAGGTTTCTAGAGGTGTCTTGTTTCTCCATTAACATAATTATGTCAACTTTTTTTACTTCTACTTAGATAAATTAGTCATCAAACATCTTCAGAGATACTTCAGAAAATGTGTATATTTTCTAATTTCAATATCCAGTACCTCAATAACGAAGCAAACTATGACCCAGGTCCATATAAAACGTTTTGCTTAAAATAATTAAAAAAACGCTTTGGCCGATTTGAATGAAATTTTTAAGGTTTATTTGAATATTACAAAAAAAAAAACGATTTTCTCGCTGGGTAAGCCCCTGAAAATTCTGGATCAAATCTAATCGGTCCAGTTGATGCATAATAATTGTTTTAATAAACCATAAAAATTTTATTCAAATCGGCTAGCGTTTTTTTAAAAAACTCAATTTAAAAAAAAAATTAACACCCTGTACTCGGAAACGAAGCACTTGCGGATCCATGTTTATGTGAACTTTTTTACATATTTTGCTTAGCGGACTTCAACTCTGAAACACCCGGTACCAGTGTGTCCACGGATAGAGTTCGGAAGAGAGAAATCTTTATGTGTAGGTTTAGAATAAAAAGTCGTTCTTTATAAAAACGACCTGCTCGTCTTGAAACTACAATCTTGAATACCAGATTTGAGATTGCAATACAAGGTATATCAAAATTAACATTTTGAATTAAGTACTTCAATTTTGATTTTTTTTTTGATTTTTTTAAAAACAATTATCTAAAGCTTGATTTATTACACAAATTGTGCAAGAAAATCTAATAAACATTTTTCCCAAAGAAGGTAATTTCGTAGCTAATTACTTATAAATTCTTATATCTTTATTTTTATTTTCAAATAAGCTAGCTAGTTTTAATCATTAAGTAATATTAGAATAATGCAACAGCAAATAGCTTGTTCTAAATAAATGAAATGATCTGTCAAATTGTTGATAGTTATGTTATAATTTTGACTTGTGCTCGATAGTGAAATTAGAGTCTGCTTACGTTAGAACAAAGAATTTATAACGTCCTATTTTATGGCTAAGGACACAAGCTATATGGCAGTTGTGAGACAATTCCATGAAATATGATTGATTTCCATCTCACGGATAACGGCGCAAAAAAAATTATAATGAAATTCACGAGAACTGGTTTTGAATTAAAACAAATGTAAAAAAAGAGCACAATGAACATGATGCTTTGACTTTAATGGCGATGGATCCGGCTAGAAATTTCCCAATATTGTCGTTAAGAAACAGATCTTCTCAAATTGGAAATGTTATCCGTGAGATGAACATCAGGCCATATTACATGGAATTGTCTCACAACTGCCATATAGCTTGTTTGTCCTAAGCCTTAACATAGAACGATATAAATTCTTTGTTCTAACGTAAGCATTTTCTAATTTCACTTTCATGCACATAACTGTCAACAATTTGACATTTATTTATTTAGAACATGCTACTTGCTGTTGTATTATTCCAATATTACTGAATTATTAAAACTAGTTAGCTTATTTGAAAATAAAAATAAAGATATACCTACTTTGGGAAAAATGTTTATTATACTTCCTTGCAAAATTTTTGTAATAAATCACAGTTTAGATAATATTTCTAAAAAGACGAAAAAGAAATCGAAATAAGTGATTAAAAATGTTATTTTTGATGTCCCCTCTATTGCAATCTCAAATCTGGTATTCAAAATTGTAGTTTCAAGACAAGCAGACGTTTTTATAAAGAGTGATTTTTTGTTTTAAACCTACTAGTCCGCGGGACATGTCGATTTGGTGAATGATCAATATTTATTACTAACAAGTAGTTTTTTACTTAAATCTCATGATAATTGTATGAAAAACTCGAAAAAACTTTTGTCCTACACGTTCGATGGTTTTTCCGAAGCGTCCCCCACTCTAAACTAGGGCTTACAATCCCGCAATGATTTGAAAATCCCGGTATTTGCGGCACTTGACTTTAAAATCCCGTGGGATCTCGGTATAAACGGGATCCCGCGATAATATGATATATTATTGTATTATAATATCCACATTTTTTATGTATTAACTAAAACAAGTATAAAATTAAACTTATATCATTTATTTTCAATATACCACAAAAAATTTCTTTTTTGAACACCAAACAAAAATAATTATGCAGATTAGGCTGTATTACGCACCCCAACACGGCTTAAGATGTACAACATAAACAAAATATATATATATATATTTAATATAAAATAACGAAATTAATATTAATTGAAAAAATTATTTATTTTTATTTATTGGTTTTGCTGAAAATATTTCCGAAGAAAACAATATATTTACGCTGTGGTCTGATAACGAGCTCCGTATGTCATTTACTAGATAACTGGTAGCAGAAAAAGCTCTCTCGGCCTCGACACTTGTTGGGAATTACAGATTTTAGACAAATATAGGCTAGTTCTAGATACTTTCCTCTAGAACATATACGTTAATTATTCTGTGACAGACTACTACTACTAACAACGAAGAAAACAAAGTTATTTTGTGCGTCGTGGTCGGGCCACGTGTGAAATCAACGACGCCAAACCGGGATGGTGGAAGCACCTGTGCACAATCCCGGAATCCCATATTTAAAAATTGGTGCGGGATCTCGCTATTTCGGGATCCTGGTATACCGGGATTGCAAGCCCTACTCTAAACATGTCAAAATAATATGATCTTAGAAGTTATTAATAACCACCTAATTTTTTCACAGATGCTTGGTAATTATTATTATAATTCAGTGACATTTTTGTCCTACACGTAAAATAGAAGGTTTTCCTAGTCCTACACTGGAAAAATGTCATTTTCACGGGTACAATTTTCTCATTAATAACTGTAGGACAAAGAAACCAAATGATATTTAAGGGAATTTTTAATAAAAAAAAAACTATATCCTACAAAAAAATGAGTATGTATTGCTAGTCCTACAAAAATTATATAAAATTATTTAAAATTGCGAATTTCGAAATCAGCATTATATCTTCTTGTGATTATATATGACCATACTTCGCCAAAATAATGCAATTTTTGCATCCCAAAAAGAAAAATAGTTTACTGATCCCCCAGGGAGTTTGGGGGGTGAGTGATAAACAAACTTTATCCTTATCAAGCGCTTAGCGAACTAAACCTAAGCGATTTTCCTCTATGTCGTCGAAAAAAAGTGTATATTTAACTTTCTATGCACATATGATCAGTATATGATGTCACAAAGTAGAAAAATAGTTTAGTAACCCCCCAGGGAGTTTAGGGGGGGGGGGGGATATATTAAGCAAACTACCCTTATCGAGCCAGGTCGAGCAAAACCGATGAATTTTATATTATATTTTAAAATCATATGTAAATGTTTTTATAGTATGTTGTATTACTTTTAATTTTTATTCTAGAAATAATAGAAAAAAATTTTGAATACAAGGTATTTTTGAGTAGGTATATTAAACAAAGAAATATACATTTTTATCTCAAGTTTAAAGGAGTTACTTACTGAACCCGTTTCAGTAACTGAATACCTTTTAATATAATTAACTTTAAATTAATTAAGTAGATTAATTAATTTTATTACTTTAAAAAAAAATTTATACACAAAAATAGTTAATAGTTATTAATTTTGTTATTCTGCATTAACTTTTACTACTAAAATTATTCAATAACCACGCTCATGTGTGATATTCAATAAACAGCTCCTTTATCTATTAATAAAATAATCATTTTTTGTATGAAAATAACAAAAAGTGAATTTATTACTATAAAATATTATATTATATTGTTTGCAAGCAATCAGAATTACTTTAGAGAATTTTTTTATTTTCTCGGAAATTCGGATTATCGCACAATAATTTGCATAAGAACTCCATAGTCACTAAAAAAAAAGCACAAAAACGTGGACGACTGAAACACACTTGATTCTCTCTAAAATAAAACGTGGGCAAACCGCCAAAATAATCCTGATTGGTGCGGGAATTTTGAAATTTTTTATTTTCACCAATGGTGAAACATTCGATAATTCATTAATTTAAAAAAAACTTATAAAGATTATTGAAGAATTCATTATTATATAGATAAATAAGTTTTTTCAAAAAAAAAATTATAAACTTCAATAAAATTTTTTCATAATTTTTATTGAAAATTAAATTATAAAAGTACATAAGTTAGTTAGGATAGGTTGGTGTGTGTAAGCATATGTAAGTATGTGTCACAGGTATATATCCTTATGTATATTTATTTATAATACAATTCTCAACATCAATGTAGAGTTACGATTTCCAGTATAATTTTATTTGTTTTCATCACTAGCTTCCACTTTTTTGTAGGACATTGGTAAAATCTTGATTCAAACATCGTTCTCAAAAAGAAAATTAGGTTGTTATTAATGAGAAAATTATACCTGTGGAAATGACACTTTCCCAGTGTAGGACTAGGAAAACCGAGGAAAACCTTCCATTTTACGTGTAGGACAAAAATGTCAATGAATTATAATAATAATTACCAAGCATCTGTGAAAAAATTAAGTGGTTATTAATAACTTCTAAGATCATATTATTTTAACATGTTAAGAGTGGGAGACGCTTCGGAAAAACCATTAAACGTGTAAAACAAAAGTTTTTTAGAGTTTTTCATACAATTATCATGCGATTTAAGTAAAAAACTACTTGTTAGTAATAAATATTGATCATTCACCAAATCGACATGTTTGATACCCCCGCGCTTTATTAGCTACCGTTTTCGAGAATTTTCGTAGAGAGAAAAGTTGGGCGTCTCGTCAAAACGAAGCTGTTCCCCAAAATTCAGCTTATTATTAATCAAAGAAAAAAAAGGGTCTGGGCCCGTGGACTATACACATTAGAAAGTTTTCTCTCTTTCTCTATCCGTGGACACACAGTATGTATATTGCTTTATTAATTATGAAAAATCTATCGGTGACAAATAAAACTAATTGAAAAAATGCATTCACTTTAATGGTGTGGGTGAAATATAAGCTACAACATATATTAAATATCATTGCTATTCAATGTCTACTGGCACAAAGCATTCCTTTGTACCTACTGGCAGAGAGCTACCTACTAATCTGTAGACCAGAGTAGTTGTTTCCCATAATACTGTTAGTTGAACAATTTCATGGTTTTATATATTAACCTACTAATTTTATTTGGAAATAACTGTTAAGCACTTACAATGTTAAATTAATTTCGAGATTAATTTCTAGTGTTTATTTAGAAATTTCAAGTAGGTAGCGACTTGATTAATAAACATCGACAGTTTATTAGTTTCTATGATCAAATTAAATTTCTTAAACTTAATAATAAAATTATATATCTACCTATAGGTAACTATTAGTTGTTGCATTAAAAAAAAAAAAAATTTTTTGTTTATTTGTAGCTAACGATAGTTTTGTTAGATTTTTGAAAAGTGATCTGCAATATATGATGTCATTCACACACATAAAATAAAAAGGGCTTTTTTATTGAATCAGAACATCATAAAATTTAAGCAGAGTAATTTGAAGAAATAGTGAAAAGTTGTAAGGGTTGCATAATTAACTAAAAAAATACCTATTGGATCTAAAATATAAACAATAGGAAATGAATATGATAACTTTCTCTACACTGAAGTTATGGAGAAGCCAGGATTAACATCTTTATCTCTTCGTCTTTGTCTGGCATTTAAAAATTACATAAATTAATCCTTGCCTCAGAGGAATCACTTATGAGTTGTTTTTATGAAATTGTTTTTGCCTAATCAAAAATCTGAAAGTCTGAAAAAATACCCACATGAATAGAGTAAAAAATGGACATCATTAAGTACTTCCCCACTATCTTAAAGTGAAGCGATATAGCGATGTGTATGTTTTATTTATGCTGCTTTTTTCATGGTGAGATTTTTTGTAAGGCAAAAATCCAGGCGAAGATAATTTTATAAATATAACACTTTTTTCATACAAAATATAGGTATCTATAAATACGTAACACAAGATAATGAAAAAATCAATTTGAAAAAACTTATGGAAGATAAAAAATAACCGTTTTAATAATTGTTTTCGAAATATGAATTAAAATAAGACAAAATTACCTATTTATGCTAAGATATGTATTAAATTTGAAGTGTACATTGGATTTTTTTATTTTCTTAAAGCTGTTTTACATTGACAATTTATTGATCAATTAATTGATGAAGTCGCTTCATCAAGAAATTGGACAAGTGTAATGCACCAAATTAGCTGTCAAATAACTTCATCAATTTATTCATCAACTTCTTGACGAATTAGAGCATGTTCTAATTTTCGTCAATTTCTTCGTGAAGTTTGGAAGTACCAACCCAACAGATTTCCAGCCTCAGATCAGTAATGAGGTTATGTTATTGGAATATGTAAATAATTGTGTGGCGTCGTGCTAGTTTTGCATTGTTTTTACTGATTTGTTATTTACAAAAACTAATATTTATATAATATGTGTCAGAACTGTACCGCTGTTGTATCACTACAATTATGAGTGGAAAGGTGACTTTTTTGAAATTTTTTTGCTTCTTTGATTAATTGGTACAACTGATTCATACGTCAAAAAACTTGACAAAGTCTGTAGCAGTGTAAAACCACACTGTTTACCAATAAATTCGTGAATTATTTGATGAAGAACTTCATCAATTTATTGATGAATAGTGATGGGCATAATCGACCAATTTTGATAATCGAGTTATCGGTAATCGAGTACTTCTAATAATCGAGTGATCACTCGAGATACGAGATATTGGTCGTTTTCATCCCAGCGGCGCACAAATATGTTTGTATTAGTCATATATTACTTATAAGCGCAGCTAAAAAAAAGCTCACGCACTTCAAAACCTAACTACTTTTTCGTTTTATTCTAAAAAAAAGGTTACGCAATCAGTGACTATTTGCAGTATGCACTAACATTTTGGGGTGCAACCGTAGGGTAATAATCACTCGAGTGGTGGGAGTAAACATCTCGAGATATCTCGAGTGATCTCAATAATCGAGTACCACTCGATTTTTCACTTGAAATCTCCCATCACTATTGATGAATAAATTGTCAATGTAAAACAGCTATTTAATAAAAAAACTTAAATCTCATTTTGATTGGTATAATGAAATGATTCATAATAGAAAATAAAATTTCAAATCAAATTAATTCTTGCCCCACAAATAAAAGTTGACTCATTTAATAGTCATATTAATCAGAAGAGCAAAATATATAAATGGTACCTAATTGAAACTTAAATTTGCACTCCAAAATACAGAATTATAATTATACAAGATGTTGTATTTACCTCTCTAGCTTGATTCATATCTACAGCCCAAGCCGGTAAATCACACTTGTTCCCAACAAGGACCATCGGTACCTCTTCTGCATCTTTAACACGTTTAATTTGTTCTCGATAAGTCCCTATATCCTCAAAACTTTTTGCTGAATTCACAGCAAATACTAAGAGAAATCCTTCACCTGTTCTCATGTATTGGTCTCTCATAGCACTATACTCCTCTTGGCCTGCCGTATCGAGAATGTCTAGAAGGCACGTCTCACCATCTATGACTACCTGCTTTCGATATGAATCTTCTATAGTTGGGTCATATTCGTCTACAAAGTGGTTTTGAATTAATTGTATGGTTAATGCTGACTTTCCAACGCCACCGGCTCCAACCACCACTAGCTTATATTCAGTCATTTTTTCAGTAAACCGGAAATTTTTCTTGAAAAAAATATTGTAAGCAGACTTTTAAACTATTCAGTTCGGATTTGAGTGGCTCCCCACTGTCGCTATCCCTGCATAATAAGAGATACACACAACACACTAAAAATGCAGCAATTAAGAACATTCATATACTCAGTAAATTACTTTAATTAATTGTAATCAAGATGAAACAATTGCAGAGAACGGTAACAAAAGTTACGAAGAACGTCAAAAATATTTCTATTACTAGTTAGTTACTAAAAAAAAGCCACTAGTTTTAGGGATTTCCATTATATTACCAACACCAACTGATACGTTGCAGGTTTTTAAGAAATCCGCCCATCATGCATTAAATTGTTCAAAATTCAATTATGTCTATTATATATTGATAATGATTTAAGGAACTTACAGATTTCATAAAAATCGATTCAACATACTTTCATACTTGTATATTTGTCTGTAAATAATTACGTATATATTTTTTATTTTTTTATTTGTATGTGTTCGAAAATTCCATTAAAATTTGGAATTTGTCTGTTTGCGACAGTGTAAAAAAATTCTGCCAACTTAATACGTTTACAAGAAAGTCACTAACATGGTATGTCATTGAATGACAGATAAGAAAATGAAAGTTTTGTTTCTTGACAAAAAGGAACAGGGTTGTTTATTGCTTCAAGAGTTAGGAAAAGTCTAGAGAACGTATTTGTTTGAGATGACATAAATTTGTTTGTAGTTCTCTTTCAAATTTTGAGTTATTTCATGCGTAACATAAGCAGGTTAAGGTGAGTTCTTAATAAAATACCAAAAAATGAATCATTTATGTGATTCACCACCAATTTTAATTTTCAGGTAGTTATAAGCATGGCCTCGGCCTCCAAGCAAGGTCATGAAAGTTTGGAGTCCTATGTGGATAATCTTAGGGTAAAAATTTCTGAACATTACAAACCTCCTCCCCGTATCAATGTAGCAATGACTTATGCCCAGAGACTTACCCTTAACAAACACATACAAGACAATATGCCAAATTATGAATTTGTACTGGAAAATGCGGTCCTGGAAAGAATGAAGGAATGGAAGAGTGTTAGGAAGTCAACTTTCGAGGAAAGGAAAACAAAAGTCGAACAACTGAAAAATGAGCTGAAGGAGAAGCAAATAGAATCTGTTGAAAATGTGGAGGTTAAGACTGTAGATCAAACTGCGGCTGTACCAAATATCAATAATTATAATTCCAATGATACGAATATCGTATTTGCTAGTTCCAGTATTAATAATCAGAATTTCACTAATTATACGACTTCTAACAACATTCTCATACCCATGCAGATTTCCACTAACTATTCAAATATTCTGACGCCCATACCATTAACAAAGGCTGTAAATCAACAGTATAATTGTAAACCAGTTGATAAAAGCCCGTTTAATCTCTCAGACTTCGAAAATGATACGTCTAGTCCATTCGACAACATGGAACTAAAATCAATCAATGACATGGAGGAGTTAGCGCAAGTACTCAAAAGAGAAGAAGGCAAATACAATACTAATATGAACACACCTATGTATCAACAGTACCAAGTTACCCCTCAAGTCGCAAGTCAGTCAGCGAGCGTAGGCCAGATGCAACAGAATATTCCAAATTACTTAGGTTATACTTACAGCATTCCAGATACAGTTTCATATGCTCAGCCTGTTATATCTGACTACTCACAGACAAACGGTTATTATTACTCCCCGGACATTTTGAGACAAAATGAATCCTATAATTCGAGTTATTTGTATTCGAAACCTAGCAATGCCGGCTATAATCAGGTTTTACAGACGGCATCTTTAGAGTCGAAGAAATCGAACTGTAAAAGCGTGCCAGATATCATAAAATCTCTCGAAGTGGAACTAGAAAATTCTCATTTGGACAATATGTTACCAAACACTTCAGATATCAGGGGATATGTCAGTCCTCAGACGAGTCGGCCTAAGAGTACAGAGGCTGTAATGTATCCTAGGGTTAAGGACAAGGACGACGATCTAGATAATCCATTCAATGCTTTGCCGAAAGCGCAACAGGATTTGTGTAGGTCTATTAGCTCAATGGGGTTCCCACTGTCGAGAGTGGCTAGGAGTTGTAAAATATTAGGAAGTGATCATAAGAAGGTGAGTTTCTTAAATCAAGGTGAATTATAGCTTCTAATTCGAAAATATTTCTAATAATTTTTGCTTGCCTGAATTAGCACAACATAAATGTACTAGTCAATTTTGAATTAATTAACATTATTCTAGTCGGCCAAAACTCCTATAATAAAGTCCATATTAATTTGCCAAAAAAATATTTGCTATACAGGGTGTACGTTTGAGTGAGGGTCATGTTTATGCAGAGGCTATCTTTGACCTTTAAAATCACATCAATAGTTTATTTTTTGAAATTCCATCAGAAAAACTTAATTTTATTTTTAACCTTTTATTTTTAGTAATTTTTATACCCTGCTGCTGATTGAGCTAATGCTACCTTAAACAACATCATAGCATGCTTTAGTCACAGTGCATGCACAACTGGGAACTGGGTTATGCATTGTTGTCAACTCTCATATTTAAAAAAAAAGTTATCAAAAAGCAAATTTCTACATCACATGCCGTAAGGTACTGCTCTTTGACACATTAGTTTTGTTGAGTGGGTTTTCGCCACAAGACCTATCATCCCACAAACAAAAAAAAATTATTTTTTATAAATAAGATAAAGTATGAAATGAAATAAACAAAAATAAATAAATAATCTGTTTACTCACCTGATTTTTATAGCAGGGCACTTGAAATTTTGTGGCAAATCTTCAAGTATTGGTATCAGGATCCTCTTTCATGGCATTAAAATTTCTGGTTCCTAATTTCGCATTCTCTGAATTTGTTCTCGTCCAACATTAGCATATTGGTGTTCAAATTTCCCATAATCTCTTGAATATTGAACCGATATCACGAACATTTTCTTAATCAGTACTTATAATCGGGGTAATCTTTCTGTAGTAGGCTCTAACCAGATCAACCGTTTCTTGATTGGTATACATGCTTTTTCACAATATCACAAAATCTTAAAAATTAAAATGCACAATTACACTACTAACACTAAACACTGAAATAAAAATAACTTTTTAAGATTATACACTTACACCACACAAAAGCACTTTATGAACACACTCTCTTAAAACGATAAAGTCAGTGACTATACTAAAATTGTAACCAAATGAAATAGTGAAGTATTAAGTTATTTCCTTTTTATACCAAGAGCGAAGACAGTCGTCATATCCGCTTTCAAATGTAACAGGAGACATTGCAACAAGACAGCAGTGGCTAATCTCCGTTGCACTTCGGAAGCATTCGGAACATGATGGAATTCAACTTAAATTTAAACTGTTAATGGTTTAATTTTGTTGTTATTTTATTTATTTTGGATTAAATTAATATGTCGCATCGATTCGCTGCTGCAGTGGCTGAATAAGAAAAAAAAAGTGGAAACGTACCATATTTCTGTATATCCCTGTTTTAGTTATCCTAAATCTACTCTACCTAGTGACAGTAGTATAGTTCAGATAAACTAGGACAATGTCATTGACACTGAAATTCACAAATTAAATACATACACTGCTTAAAAAAATATAGTAACACATATATTAAATTAGCACTTCGATTTACAATTATTATTTATTAGTAACGTATCTTCATACAAGATTGGTTAATGCTGAATAAATCGTGAACATTTTTAATTTTTTAAAAACAATTTTTCTAATGTTTGACATTGTCCACATTGATATCAAAAAGATATCGTGACTTTAAAATAACACTTTGTTATCATAGAAAAGCAGTCTGTTTTCATTAAATTTTTTTCATTAGTTTAGCTGTCTATCAGTTGATAAAAAAAAATAATTAACAATTAGTAACATACGTACATACCAATATTAGTTAATATTTGAAAAATCATGTAAAAGTTTAAATTTTCTATTAGAAATAATAGAATGTTTTTTTGTAATGTTTAGCGCTTCGACCACAGTGATATGAAAAAAATATGGTGACTTTAAAATAAGAAGCTGCTAAATTATACAAAAGCAATCTGTTTGCTAAATTATTTTTCATAACTCCGCATAACATAGTTAACATAGTTGCAATACTGATAACAATGCAATTTGCTTTTTATGGACACATGGATAATATTTTGTAATTATCTACCAATTAATTTATTAAATTCTGTTCAAATGGCCACATTGAATGATATAGTTAGTTTGGGGAAGTTTATGCTAGTGCTGGCAAAAAACTGGAAAAATGTGAAACCGGTTAATAGGGTTCCATAAAAACTAATTTCAGATAAAACTGGTTAGCTGAATAGTGTTAAAACCGGATATTCTAAAACTGGTTATTCGAATAACTGAAAAACTGACAGGATATACGATGTTATTCACATATTCACATATTTTAAATTTTAAAGTTAAATCTAATGTTAAAAGTGAAAATGTTAAAACAGTTACAAAAAAACACTTAATAATCTGGGGTTGTTCAATTTATTTATATAAACGGGTTTGTCATTTGGTGTATGTGGATGTGGGTAATTGTTTTTCTTACCAATCTGTGTCGGTGTCCCAGGATAAAATCTAAAAATAAATTGTATTTCCCTTAATAGTTCAACCTAATTTTTGTAGTAGGTTTGTATATACTATGTAGCCAATGTCAATAATAACTACCAGTGGCAGTTCGTCAGGTGACGCACCGCTTCACCTAAAATTTCCGTTTGATTGTCCAATTTAAAATTATTTTTAATTTTATATAAATTTTATAATTTAGGTATAATTCTATATTGAAAATGTATTGTGTTTGTTTGTTTAATACGCAGAAATAAACAGAATAGTTGTGCGGTGCACGCCTTCTAAAAAAACATTGCCTTCGTTGAGCGCAAACATCAACCTCCTACCGTACAACGTTTAGTATGCGCAAGTGACGCAGATCGAAACAGTCTGAATTCTGCTTCTCTTCAGAGTACCTATAAGTGGTTGTGGAAGTGTTTATTTAAAAAAAATTTTTGTGCATGCCGTGTTTAATTGTGGGTGTAAAGTCGGACGTGTGGAATAAGGGGGGATTTAACAATTTTGGGAAAGTCACACGAGGCTGTCATAATCACAAAGCTTCTTTGGAACATACATGTACGGTGTGCATTAATGTTTGCAGAAGTCCACAAGCCAAACTAATATTTCTATTTTTTAGAAAATCTAAATGAAAATCCTTCTCACGAACGTCACTATTTCGGAAATATTGCAAATGTAACTAAAAATTTCCAGATTCATTTAAAGCCGTTTGACCTTGAAAATTTGAAAATTTATGCCTGCGGCTCTTTTTTTTTCTTTTTAGTCAATGAATATGCTTCACCTATTCTCAATGAGCTGCCACTGATAACTACATTACACTAAGACTATATTATAGTGTTATTTAGTTGTGGCTATAAAGAATCGGATTATTCAGATGTTTGAATTAACAGATTATCGAATAATCGGTTATTTGAATAATCAGATATTTGAAGAATCGAATAACCGGTTTTCAGCTTTTGTATAAACCCGAATTATCCGTAACCGGTTAACCGACTATCCAAAAAACTTCAATTGCCAGCACTATCTTATGCATTAGAATTATTTTTGTACTATCTGCAAAGATAAATATACAACGTTTGTGATTCATCAGACATAAAGGATTCCTCTATAGAGTAAGATAGAGGAATCCTTTAGAGATTTTTACTTCTACTTCGATAAATCAGTGGCCCAAATTTTATCAATCTATATCAATCATCCCCAAACAACCTCCTCCTCCAAAATGAAACGCATTACAACTTACATTCATATAAAACTTTTTCCCTAAAATAATTTGTTCTGTCACCACTCTGAAGGAATACACTTATTTTAAAAACACCCTGTAAAAGTACAATGCAATATGACTATTAATTTATTTGCTTTTTTTGGAAATATCGGAGAGCGCAAAATTTTACGTTTAGATAGGTACTTAAGACTTCTTCGTCAAGGTCAGATTAAAGGACACCACCCGATGTCCCCCTCCGAACCCAACTACTTTTGCAAGGGTTATTTTCGAATTGGTGGCTCCCCTAATGAGATATTCAGATGCGTAATTTAAAATATTTTGTCCTCGAAATAACCCTTAAAGGTCATTCCAAAAAAGAGCCTTAAGTACCAATCTAAACGTAAAATTTTGCGCTCTTTCCGAATTTGGGGTCAAAAATAAAGGTTCGTATTTAAAAAATTAGATTTGATTTTTAAATGACTAAGGTCAATGTCAAGGTCATATTGAATCCATAAGGTTTGTGCAGGGTGTACTTTACATTAATTTGACATGTATATTATGATTTCAAGCACAAGAGAAATGATTTTTTTTAAATTCACTTTGTTTCTGTCCTTAGATAGTGGAACATTTACTGGCTTTATCTGATCTCCTGGACTTGGGTTTTTCTGAGAAGGCGGTGTCCGAGGCATTGCTGCAATGTGGTAACGATAGGGATAAAGCCCTGGATAAATTAATTTCGTAAGGTCCTTTCCTACGAGGCTGTGCTGTATTATTATCGTTTAAGCTTTAATATATTTATTTGTTCTTAAGTTATTTATTTGCTCCTAAATTTTAATTGAATAAGTTGAAAGTACCAACTTCTTACGGTTGTAAGGAAATGGAATTTCAACGGAACCTATTTTATTGTGATTACTGAGCCATTGGAAGTTGTGAGAAGATAATTTTTGCGAGGTTACGGGGTAAAATTTTATTTGTATGAAACAAAGTGCAAAGTTGAAATATTATCTTGCTTGTCTCTGTTTCGGTAATGGTGTCGATAAGTTACAGATTAAGGAACCCACGGTCATCTTTAATATGCATTTTAAAGATATGTAATGTGAAGACTTTGCTCGACTCCTCAATATTTCATTACTTTAAATAATCTGAAGCAATTATTTTTAGTAATTATACACTGCAATTATTTTTAATATCTAAGCTTTGTAAGACCCTTAATTGTAAATTTAAAATACTCTGAAATATGTATGAATAAAGTAAATTATCTTTGTATAACATCTGTTTTGTTTCCCCATCAAATATAACAAATTAAAAAAATCGCGTTTGTATAATTTCAATATTTTTTATGAACAGTTTTAGCTGTACAATGCAAACTGTACAAATTAAACGTAGAATGTCTTGTTTGCACAGTATACTTTCTGCGCTCATTTCAACTGAAGAGACAGATAGCGGTGATCTATAGCACTAGATAAAAGACGGCACTCATCCGCAATTTTGGAGCCCACTTCGTCATGTCATCATAATCATAGATCTATCGTAAATCCGAAAGTGAATGTTTCCTACGGTTTCAATTAGAATTATTTTGTATTAAAAATTAATGGGTATTCAGCTGCATCATTCATTTATTCCTGATGTCGAATATGCGTAGTCAAATATACAATCCTTCCTTGAACATTTTCATGAGTTATATTTTTGATATGATTTGAAAAATTTTAGAAAATGGCAAAACGATAAACTTGTATAGGTAACACCATCGTAACCCTCAAGTTCACATCTTTTTTATAACTAAATAATTAGGTACATTTTGTTTTGTAATTCATAAAATGTGTACACACTGTACCTACACTTAACTAAGATGTAGTAATATTCTGGTATATATTTTATTTGAATATTCAGAAAAATTTAACTTGAAGCTTTAAATAAACAAACAGTTTAAAATCGGCGGTTATTTTCAAGTGGGCTCCAAAATGGCGGACGAGTTAACTACCTTTTATGTAGTGCTGTATGTATATCAATAAAAAAAAGACAAACAAAAATATTATTCACTATTGTCAAAACATGCTCTAGATGCCATCTTCAATAATAGCTTATTAGTTGAGTTGAATTGATTCATGACTGTATACTCCCTGGAACTGTGTGTGACAAGACAACTAGTTGAGTTGAGAGTTTGAATATAATTCGAGCAGACAAACTGGATTACACCATACATTGCATATGTAAATTAAGTCCATTGGGCACCGACAAATTTCAATTAAGCCCTGAAATGTACAAATCAAAAAAGTACTTGATGTAGAATGAGATGAAAATACAAGTAACCCATGGTAAAGGCACATAATATGTATAAAGGTATAATTCTCTACACGACTATTTTGCCACCGCGTCGTATCACCCTCGTGGCTCAAATAAATTTGGTTTATCAATTTATCATAGAGATAGCATATTAGACACATTATGTCAAGAGTTTTAAAAATTATTGGAAATATATTTAAATAAATTGGACTACGTGATATGAATATTGAGTATAGATATAATTACTTATTTTACATTACAATTACCCAAGAATAATAATTCTTGATATCTTATTTCTTGACAATTACCCGTATAAACACATTAAAATCCCGAATGTTTTAACCGCGCCATTATTTCATGGCTAGAAATTGGCCTCAATGATTTGGGATCGAGGGGGATTATCCCTCTTTATCCTGCCTCATCTCGTGTAGGCCTGGACAGCCTTCGTAGGT